GCATTCCCACCAGCAATGTACTAGAGTTCCCTTTTCTCCACACCCTCACCAACACTTGTTATTTGATGTTTTGTTTGATGGCGGCCATTCTGACAGGTGTGAGGTGATACCTCATTGTTGTTTTAATTTGCACCTCTCTGATGATTAGTGATGTTGAGCACTTCTTCATATGTCTCTTGGCCGTTTGGAGAGGTGTCTATTTAGCTCCTCTGCCCATTTTTTAATTGGGTTCTTTGTCTTCCTTTTGTGAAGTTGTATGAGTACTCTATATATTTTGGAAATTAACCCCTTATCTGATATATCACTGGCGATTATGCTCTCCCATACAGTGGGTTCCCTTTGCATTTTGATGGTTGTTTCTTTTGCTGTGCAGAAGCTTTTTAATTTGATGTAGTCCCATGTGTTCATTTTTTCCTTTGTTTCTGTTGCCTTAGGTGAAGTATCAGTGAAAATTATACTGCATATGATGTCTGAAATTTTGTTGCCCACATTTTCTTCTAGGACTTTTATGGATTCACGAGTCACATTTAAGTCTTTTATCCATTTTGAGTTTATTTTTGTGTATGGTGTAAGTTGATGGTCTAGTTTCATTTCTTTGTATGTAGCTGTCCAATTTTCCCAACACCATTTATTAAAGAGGCTGTCTTTACTCCATTGTATGCTCTTGCCACTTTTGTCAAATATTAATTGAGCATAATGCTTTGGGTCCATTTCTGGGTTCTCTGTTCTATTCCATTGATCTATGTGTCTGTTCTTGTGCCAGTACCAGGCCGTTTTGATTACATTAGCTTTGCAGTATAACCTGATATCCAGTATTGTGATCTCACCTACTTTGTCCTTCTTTTTCAAGACTGCTGTGGCTCTTCGGGGTCTTTTTTGGCTCCATATGAACTTTTGAAGTATTTGTTCTAGTTCTGTGAAGTATGTCATTGGTATTTTGATGGGGATTGCATTGAATCTATAGATTGCTTTGGGTAGTATGGACATTTTAAAGATGTTAATTCTTCCAATCCATGAACAAGGTATGTGCTTCCACTTTTTTATATCTTCCTGTATTTCTTTTTTCAATGTCCCGTAATTTTCTGCAAATAGGTCCTTTACTTCTTTGGTTAAGTTTATTCCTAGGCATCTTAATTTTGTTGACACAATGGTAAATGGGATTTTTTTTCAGTTTCTCTTTCTGTGAGTTCATCATTGGTGCATAAGAATGCTGTCGATTTCTCGACGTTGATTTTGTATCCTGCTACTTTGCCAAAAATCACTTATTAAGTCTAGTAAATTTTTGATGGAGTCTTTAGGGTTTTCTATGTATAATATCATGTCATCTGCGAATAATGACAGTTTCACTTCCTCCTTTCCAATTTGGATCCCTTTTATTTTTTCTTCATGTCTGATTGCTGTGGCTAAGACTTCCAGTACTATGTTAAATAAGAGTGGTAAAATGGGCATCCCTGTCTTGTTCCTATTCTTAATGGAAATGTTTTTAGTTTCTGCCCATTGAGTATGATGTTGGCTGTAGGTCTTTCATACATGGCCTTTATTATGTCGAGATATGATCCCTCTATTCCCACATTGCTGAGTGTTTTTATCAGAAATGGATGCTGGATTTTGTCGAATGCTTTTTCAGCATCTATTGATATGATCATGTGGTTTTTATTCTTCATTTTGTTTATGTGGTGTATCACATTTATTGATTTGCAAATATCGTACCAGCCTTGCATCCCTGGGATGAATCCCACTTGGTCATGGTGAATAATTTTTTTGATGTATTGCTGGATTCGATTTGCTAGTATTTTGTTCAGGATTTTGGCGTCTATGTTCATCAGGGATACTGGCCTGTAGTTTTCTTTCTTTGTAGTGTCTTTTTCTGGTTTTGGAATTAGAATTATGCTTGCCTCATAGAACGAGTTTGGAAGTCTTCCTGCTTCTTGAATTTTTTGGAATAGTTTGAGGACAAGGGGTGTTAGTTCTTCTTTGAATGCTTGGTAAAACTCCCCCATGAAGCCGTCTGGGCCTGGCCTTTTGTTTGCTGGAAGAGTCTTGATTACGTCTTCAATCTCCTTCATTTCGATGACTTTTTAAAAAATATATGTTTTTATTGATTTCAAAGAGAGGAAGGGAGTCAGAGAAAGAGATAGAAACACTGATGAGAGAGAAACACTGATCAGCTGCTTCCTACACAGCGCCAACTGAGGATTGAGGCTGTAACCTGGGAATCAAACTGACAAACTTCTGGCGGGTGGGCCGATGCTCAACCCACCGAGGCACATTGGCCAGGCTCAGTGGCATTTTTATACATCAATAGTGATCTACCAGAAAGAGAAATTAAGGAAACAATCACATTTACTATTGCAACAACAAAAAAATAAGATACCTAGAAATAAACTTAACCAAGGAGGTAAAAGAACTGTACTCAGAAAACTATAGGACACTGAAGAAAGAAATAGAGAAAGATACAAACAAGTGGGAGCATATACCATATTCATGAATTGGAAGAATTAATACCATTAAAATGTCCATATTATGCAAAACAATCTACTGATGCAATTTTTATTAAAATACCAATGGCATATTTCACAGATTTAGAACAAACATTCCAAAAATTTATGTGGAACCAAGAATGACCCCACATAACATCAGATATCTTGAGAAAAAACAACAAAGTTGGAGGGATCACAATACCGGATATCAAACTATAATACAAAGCCACTGCAATCAAAACATCCTGATACTGGCACAAGAACAGGCATATATAGATCAATGGAATAGAACAGAGAGCCCAAAAATCAACCAACACCTTTATGGTCAATATTGCAACAAAGGAGGCAAGAGCATACAATGTAGTAAAAACGGTCTCTTTTATAAATGTTGTTGGGAAAATTGGACAGGTACATGCAAAACAATGAAACTAGACTACCAACTTATACCATACACAAGAATAAACTCAAAATGGATAAAAGATTTAAATGTAAGTCAAGAAAACATAAAAATCCTAGAAGAAAACATAGACAATAAAATCTCAGACATCTTACGTAGCAGTTATTTTTACCAATATATCTCCTAGGGCAAAAGAAACAAAGGAAAACATAAACAAATGGGACTATATCAAACTAATAAGCTCCTGCACAGCAAAAGAAACCATCAGCAAAATTTAAAGTGAACCCATTATATGGGAGAACATATTTGCAATGATACATCTGAGAAGGGATTAATTTTCTAAACACATAAAGAACGTATATAACTCAACACCAGGAAGACGAACAATCCAATTAAAAAATGGGCAAAGGACCTGAATAGACACTTCTCTAAAGAAAAGATACAGAAAACCAATGACATGAAAAATACTCAACATCACTAATCATCAGAGAGATGCAAATTAATCTACAATGAAGTATCACCTCACACCTGCCAGAATGGCTACCATCAATAAATCAACAAACAAGTGCTGGTAAGGATGTGGAGAAAAGAAAACCCTAGTGCCCTGGTGGTGGGAATGCAAAAATGGTGCGGCCACTGTGAAAAACAGGATGGAGTTTTCTCAAAAAATTAAAAATGAAACTGCCTTTTGACCCAGCAATCCCACTTCTGAGAATATATCTTAAGAATCATCAAACACCCATTAGAAAGAATATATGCAGCATTATTTCATATATGTTCATAGCAGCATTATTTACAACAGCCAAGATCTGGAAATAGCCCAAATGCCCATCAGAAGATGAGTGGATTTAAAAAAAAAAAAAGCAAGCTGTGGGGCCAGCCAGTGTGGTCCATGCACCAAGCGGTCCCCAGTTTAACTCCCGGTCAGGGCACATGCCCAGGCCGTGGGCCCAATTCCAGGTCAGGGGCATGCAGGAGGTGGCTAATTGATGTTCTCTCTCATTGATGTTTCTCTCTCTCTAAAATCAATAAAGAAAAACATTTTCTTAAAAACAAAAACAAAAAGCTGTGGTACATTTACACAATGGGATATTATACAGGTGTAAAAAAGAAGGACCCTTTGTGACAGCATGGATTGACCTGCAGATTAATATGCCTAGCAGAATAAGCCAGTCAGAGAAAAACAAATACCATATGATTTCACTTATATGTGGAATCTAATGAACAAAATAAACTGATGAACAAACTAGAACAAGATGCATAGATACATGGAACAGAATGACAAAGTCAGAGAGGAGTGGGATGGAGGGGACTGTATAAAAGGAGGTGAAGAGAGTATCAAAGAACATATGAACATAGCCCCTGAACACAGACTACAAAGTGCTGAAGGCCAGAGGAGGGGTGGTGGGGGCTGGGTGGAAGTGGGCAAAGTGGGGGAAAATGGAGAACATCTGTGATAGTGTCAATAAAAAGAAGAAGAAGAAGAAAAAAAGAAAATGAAAAAATAAGAAAGAAAAATGGAAATCACATCCTTCATAAGTAATATATGGGTGAGATATCTCATGGTCAGAAAAATGAGGTGTAAATTGTGATAAAGGTAATTAGGATTCACCACACACTCTCACAACCATATTACATAACATTTGAACACAGGGCCTCAGAATGTGACAAGTACATTCAATCATAGCTCAAACCATCAGTCATTAGAAAAACCTTTTACACTTTAATTTTTAAACTAAATTACATTTTTTTAATTGAAAAGGTTTCCCCCCCCAAAATCACTCATCTTTAACAATGTCACTGTAACATCTCAATTGTCATCTGAGTAGTAAGTATATACATTGTGGGTGCAATAAACCAAAATCTCACAGAAAAAGATTAAGTAAAGCCAACCAAGGCCTTGTATGTGTGTCTGTGTCTGTGTCTGTGTCTGTCTCTCGGAGAAATTCCCAGGCATATGTAAACCCCCGTACATACACACCTGGACACCCATACAAATCTGTCCAAATACACTGACATCCATGACCACTTATCTCTGCAGACTGGGTCTCTACTGATGGCTACACCCCAGGTCCTGTCTAATCCTTACAGTAGAAAAGCAGTCTGAAAGCACCATATCTTACCTTTCCCTCCTGCGTGGGGAGGCTTTAGACAGAGGGTCCCTGGTGTGGCTGAAAGACACATCCCGAGTTGGTGGAGATTCGCTGGTTTCAGGTGGGGATTCACTGGTTTCAGGTAGGGATTCACTGGTTTCTGGTGGAGTCAGCTGTTGCCGTGGCACCGGGAATCCTTCCTCAAGAATTATTCAACAAAGGGGTCAGGAAAAATGACAAATGCATTTTAGTAGGAAGGCCCATATACCAAAATTTAAAATGTATAAACATTAAGAGTCCACATGGCAATTTCAAAGTATCCAAGTTATAAAAATTCTATTTTAAAAAGCTTTGGAAGAAACATGAGTTTTGATCACTTTTGATCCCCAATATCCTGTATGGGCAGCAGCCCTGGAGAGATGAGGTGCCTCATGGAGCCAACAAGGTAATGAATAGCCTGGGGTGGGGGTTCTCCTCCACTCAACTGAGGAATGGGGTCAGGAGGCAGGGGCATAAACCCTGTAGAACACCAGCTGTGCCCCAGAGGAAGGCAAATTTTCCTGAAGGCTGACCAGGCATTCTGATTCCAAGAAGTAACAACACGTGGAAATCAAAGCTGACTGGCACCAATTTCTGCCACCCATCCAGGTGACCGAATCCCTGTGCTTAGCAGGAGGAAGTTCTCTGCCAGTTTCCCCAGGGCAGTGACCTGTTAAAGGTCTGCATTTGGTGGCCAGAGTGCATCCTGCGACTGGGGGCAGCAGCAGAGACCCTTAGACACCAGATGTAACTGGGAAAGTAAGCAATGGTGCTCTCAGAGCTAAGGTGTGGCAGTCTGAAGAACACTTCATTTTTGAGAATGAAAACAATCCTTTATATTAAAAATAAGTATTAGATGATATATTTTTCAATCATTATACTCCTCTGAACCACTTTTACTCATTAGCATTAACTGTATGAATCATGGTTTTATTTGTGCTTGTTCCCAACATAAACATTTTCCTTCAAAAACCATTTTGTCTCTGCCAACTGCACTGACTAAATTTACTCATTTCTTATATCCCCACCAAGCCCTAAAAATGACCAGATGTTAACAAAATGCTACAGCAAGTTTGCAAAGCCAAGGTTAAGGGGTCCCTTCAGGCCAACCTGGGCGGGGCGCTCGGCCTTGAACCAAAGCTCCTTTCCGATCTACTTCTTGCCATTTCTTAACCAAAAAACGTAATCTACAAAAAGAAGAAAAAAAAGACACAAAACATTGAAAACTAGAGCAAATCAGCAAATGACAAAAGCAATGAAAATCTAGATGCAATCAATAGCTGAAAGAGTTTTGGCTGCGAACCTTCCCAGTGCAGCAGGTCTTGCACACCGACCAACAGGGTAGCTACCACCAAGCCTGAACACAGGGTCCCTACCCTGCCCGCTACCAGTCCTGACCAACCCCAGTCCTCTCCCAGTGGGGGTCCTGCCCTGCCCCAGCCCACACCTGGTCCCAAACACTCCTAGTCTGGCCCCGCCCACTCTCAGACACCAAGCCTGGGGTCTCCCAGACTCCAGTTCAAAATCAGTCTGCAACATCCTGCTCCCTTCCACTACCAAGGCCACAAGCCAGTGAGCAGGATGTTGAGGTGACTGAAGGGCAGTAGTACAGGGGCTCCACCCAAGGTCCCTACAGAGGTTGTTGCCTCCCTGGGCACTGCTGCCTCTCTGAGCCCTGCCCTCCTTCAAGGCATTTCCTGTTAAAAGTGCTGCTGTTCCCCTGGCCAGTGTAGCTCAGTTGGTTGGAGCATCATCCCATATAGCTAAAGAATGTGGACTCAATTCCCAGTCAGGGCACATACCCAGTTTGCGGGTTTGATTCCCAGTTGGGACATGTACGGAAGTCAACCAATCTATGTTCTCTCTCACACTGATGTTTCTCTCTCTCTCTCCCTCCTCTCTTTAAAATCCATAAGCATATCCTCAGGTGAGAATTTTTTAAAACTATGGTTGCACTTAAATGATCCTCTCTCTTGAACAGGAAGGCTGGAGGTAGAGTTTGGGTCTGTTTAGCTGTCTCCATCTAGCACCTAACAAGCTTCCTGGCATAGGGTAGCTATTTTTTCAGGATAGGCAGGTGGGTAGTTGGATGGGAGGACGCCTGTGTACAGAACTCAGAGGTGAGGGGACTAAGTGCCTTGAGGCTGGGGGAGGCCTTCCACCCTGCCAAGGATTCCCTGCATGGAACTTCCATCCACTCCACAGCAGTCTGGTGAAAGTCAAGGAATTGAAGCAGCCTGTCCCGCAGACAAAGACCAGCATGGCCCGGACAGGGTACCTCTGCAGGAGACACAGAGCAGACATAGCTGCACAGTTCTTAGTGGGATAAACATTATTAGAAATTCAGCAAAATTTAAAATGATAGCCCTGGTCGGTTTGGCTCAGCGGTTAGAGCGTCGGCCTGCGGTCTGGAGAGACCCGGGTTTGGTTCCTGCTAAGGGCATGTACCTCAGTTGCAGTTTGTCCCCGGGCCTGGTTGGGTCATGTGGGTGGCAACCATTCGATGTGTCCCGTTCACGTCGATGTTTCTCTCTCTCTCTCCCTCCCTCCCACTCTATCTGAACAAAATATCAAAAAATGTCCTCGGGTGAAGATACCAAAAAAAAAAATTTTAATTATAAAATAAAATAATTTCATCACTATTAATTTTGAAATTCCCAATCACACTAGGGAGTCACAGCCCTGATCCAACAATGACACTTGTATACACAGTGGCTGGGGAGAGTGAGCAATGACTCTGGCTAGGAGGGTGGACAGGGCTGGGCCAGGCAGACACGCAGTGGAGGGTGGAGATGGGAGGCCTCCCTGCCCCCTGCACCCTGCAGCAGGCTCTTCCTCCCCTCCCCCATCCACAGAGAAAGACTGGCAAATGCCTATGCCATAAATGGTCACCACCCTGCATGGATCACTTATGTATTCCTATGCTCCTGGCCCATAAGAGCATGTAACACAAATATGACTATAATATAGGAAACTGAAATTTGAAGAAGTGAAATACAGTTTAAAACTTGATCAGACATGCCTGTCACCAGAAGCAACCCTGGCAAGAGACCCATTAAGCGCAAGGCATTGTTTTGTGATTAAAAAGGCACCCTTACATTTTTTCCTTTTAGAGAAACGGTTCTTAACCTGTGGGTCGTGACCCCTTTGGGGGTCGAACAACCCTTTCACAGGGTTCACCTAAGACCATCAAAAAACACGTATTTCCGATGGTCTTAGGAACTGAAACACCGCTCCTCTATCCGTCTCCAGGCGGGTCCGCCCACAGGCAGATACGCCCACATACAACATGAGGAACTGTATTCAAGGGTTGTGGCGTTAGGAAGGTTGTGGCACCACTGTTTTAGAGGGTGACAGCTTCAAACACAGTAATTTCCTGACATCAAGTGTCATTTATATTTCCTTTAAGGCCTCAAGTGTTATTGATCTTAAAAGAGAATATAATTGTAGAGTGTCAGAGACTAAAACCACCGAAAGCCAATGAACCTCCCCGACCTGTGAAGACAGCAGTGGCACATGCCTCCTGTTACCTTGAAATTGCAATCACCACCCTGACAGCCGTTCGGAACCTGGTGAAAGGCCGGGATGTGATGATTTTCTTATCTGCTTTGGAAGGAAACACTCCTAAATGAGCGATCATGGAGAGTGTCTCTTGTTCAGAGTCTTGGAATCCACCGATCAACAGTAAAAGATACTTCTTTTGATAAATCAGAGCTTTCCTAAAGCTCTCTGCTCTCAAATAATGCAGGTACAATTTTTCCATCTAAAAGAAAATTGGAAAATTTAATCACAGAAAAAAGATATCTTACTGACCAATCTGGAAAACATGTCTGTACTATTATGCTTCAAAAAGAACCAGACCTGCCCTGGCTGGTTTGGCTCAGCAGTTGGAGCATCGGCCGGCAGACCAATGAGTCATGGGTTCGATTCTGGTCAAGGGCACATGCCTTGGTTGTGGTTTGTTCCCAGCCCTGGTTGGGTCATGCAGGAGGCAGCCAGGCAATGTGGCTCTATCACGTCAATGTTTCTCTCTCTCTCTCCCCCCCCCCTCCCACTCTACCTGAACAAAAAAATGGAAAAATGTCCTCGGGTGAGGATTAAAAATAAATAAATAAAAAGAAGCAGACCTTGCCCTGGCCCATGTTGCTCAGTAGTTAGAGTATTGACCCGAACACTGAAGGGTCAAGGGTTCAATTCCCAGTCAAGGGCATGTACCTGGGTTGCAGGTTTAAGCACCAATCGGGATGTGTGCAAGAGGCAACCGATCAATGTGTCTCTCTCAAGTTGACCACCCCACTTTCCACTCTCTCTAAAAATCAATGGAAAAAATATCCTCAGGTGAGGATTAACCAAACAAGAAGAACTAGACCACTTTTTCCTCAGCAAATCATTACAGAAGTTAGCCTTGCACGACATCTATAACCGGAAACAACTTGCTATTCAAAGTTCAATCTCATTTATTAGACAAACGTAGGCCACATGTCTTTTCCAAGTATCAAAGCAGTCCCCAAGAAGGAACTGTGGATCTGACCACTAAGTCAAGTCCAAAGCGGGTCAGGGTGGGGCATTTCATCATGGGTTCATGGACACTTCGAGATGGAGACGGTAGGAACCCCTGAAAATGTACAGAGGTTGGTGTCCATAACTTAATACATGTTTTTCCTCAGGAAAGGACCCATCACTTGTTCTACATTGTCAAAAATGATAACGAGTAAATTTTTTCAGGCGGCATAGACTTTAACCTAATGATTCAAAGCATCACATTTCGCCCCTGCTCATGAGCACAGAAACATGATGTCTGTACAAAACTAGGCCACATTTCAAGTGAAAGTTCATTCTCTTTAACTTCCCTTATTTGTCATGACTTGGCCACTAGAACCAGCTTGTGGTCTTCTTAATGTGAACAGACACATTTGCTAGCAATGAAGTCCAGGCAGAAGAGGACCTCACAGCTGTGAACTACTTTTACTAGCTGACAGACAAATCAGGTTTTATTTATTTATTTTAATATGTTTGTATTGATATTTTAGGGAGAGATAGAAACATTGATGTGAGAAACATTGATGTGAGAAACATTGATCTGTTGCTTACTGCATGCCCCTACTGGGGATCAAGCCCGCAACCCAGGCATGTGCCCTGACCTGGAATCGAACCAGGACTTCTCAGTCCATGGCATGATGCTAAATCCACTGAGCCACACCAGCCAGGCCAAAACCAGGATTTTTGAAAGCATCTCTTAGGAGGGTGAGAGATGAACAGGTGAGCACAGAGGATGTTTAAGGCAGTGAAATTAATCTGTATAATACTATAATGGTGAACACATGTCATTACACATTACACACTTGTCCAAACCCAATAATGCACACCACCAGGACTGAGCCTGATGTAAACTGTGGGTGAAGATGATGTTATAAATGCAGGTTCACAGATTGTAACCAGATGTGTCCATCTGGTGGGGATATTGACAGGGAGGCTGAGTGTGTGGGGCAGGAGGTATATGAGAACTCTCTGTCCCTTTCCCTCAACTATGCTGTGAAACTAAACTAAACTGCTCTAAAGATATAAAGTCTTAAAATCAAACCAACAGCAGCATCTCCACTCAAAAGCCCATGCCACCATAGGCATGATCTCACCTTGACATTGCGGGTGTTTGCTTCCTCCCTGGAAGCTGGCTCCGGCAGTCCTGGGTCTGGAAGTCCTGGTGAGCTCTGTAGGACCATCCTGTCCCGCCTCCAGGCTGACCTGTTCGACCTCTGCAACAACCAAGGAAAACACATCTACAGAGCTGTTCTCACATAAAAACACCTTGAGAAAAATGACCCCTCCCTACCCCAACTCCAGGAAAAACATCATGTCCAAACACCTCATTCCATCACTAGCTGTTCCCCAGGGACCTTGGCAGGGTGAGGCCTGCTTTGGGAAGAGGGGAGATGGGCCCACGGGAGGCTGGGTACAGGTCTTCCCAATGCCAAGATGAGGGCCACACCTGTGTCTCCTCCCTTCAGTATCTTTTCAGTGATGCTCAAGGTGTTCTGTAGCATTATTAACCAGACAGTTAACACTTCTGGGGTGATTATTACATGCCATTTACTAGAGTATGATTTCATTAAAGGTACTATTAAAAACAAAAAAATCAAGAATTTGTGAAATAACTCCAAATTCAGAGCTTTAAGCATATTAAAAATCCTCTAGTTCTAGAAAGGCTAACTGCAAATACCTAGTTCAGCTCTAGCAGTATCAAACCACACATCTGGAAACCTCAGCAAGCTTCCTACACAGAAGCCATTCACATGGAGAGACGGGCACCCCTGCCCCATCACTCTAACAGGGAATATGCTAACAGGAGTATTCCATAGTATGGGGAACAAAGGGGCCACCCACAACAGACAACCAGAACCTGCATCAAGCAAAAGAGAACCTGAAGCACTCCCAGGGCCATGTGGTCAGTGGCCTCCATCCAGCAGTCTGGAAGAGGAATCAAAGATAGCCTAGTCATGCCACCCCAGCACTGTAAGGCAGGGCTGAGAGGAGGACAGGCCTGTGAGTGGGAGATCCTGAGAGGGGCTCCCATGTACCCTAGAAGGCAGGAGGTATTCCTGGTTCTAAAGCACAGCTGGGTCACTCCTAGAAAAAACACTCTACGAACATACATCATCTTAGACGTGAAGGAGAATACTCCACCATTCACTCTCAGTCTACTTTTGATTTTCTCATCAAGAATATTCATTTAGCAGTTTCTTTAACTTTTGTAAAGGATAAAAGCATTCTGCTCCTGTTTGCATTTTAGTCCACACAGGCCCAAGGGGGTGCCCTAAACGAAGAACCCTAAAACACTTTCCGAGCAAGTTCCAGAGAAGCAGGCAGGGCAGAGTACAGTGACACGAGTGGGAGGTCTTGTCGAAATTAAAACATGGAGCCTTTACAACTTCTCCCATCAGAGAATGTAAGTCGTGGGTCCACTTGGTGTTTGGGCCCAACTCCACAGGTACAAAGGTCCCTCCCTTCACCTTTACCTAACAGAGCTTGAAAACTGACAAACCCACAACCCTCATTAGAAATGTCAACACCCCCATCAGTGACTCACATGCAAAAAGCAACTCAGTTTGGTCACAGAAGACTTGAACCCCCTCAGCCAATGGGACGTAACTGACCTTTACAGGACATTCTACCTGACAACACCAGAAACAGCAAATCCATCACTACAAACCTTCCAAAAAAAGGAGACACTAGGTCCAGATGGTTTCACTGGTGAATTTTAACAAATATTTAAGAAAGAAAGAAATAGCAGAGATTAGCTCTACATGATCTCTTTCAGAAAATAGAAGAGGAGGGAACACATCCCAACTCATTTTATAAGGCCAAAACCAAAGACAATACAAAAAATTTCACATTAATATCCCTCATGGGCCCAGATACAGAAAAGCTCAACAAAATATTAGTAAATCGAATTGGGCAATACCTAAAAAGAATACTATGCCATCAAGTGGACTTTTTCCTGAGATGACAAGGTAGAGTCAGCATTAAAAATCTGTATGATCCACCATATTAACATACTGACAGATGCAGGAAAGCACAACAAATTTCAACATCCATTTATGACAAAAAGTCTCAGCAAACTAGGAACAGAATGGAATTTCTTCAAACTGACAAGGACGTCCACAAAAGTACCTGTATCCTCCCTCATGGACAGACTGAGGCTCCACCCCTGATGGAACCAGGCGAGTATGCACTCCTCATAGCACTTGCCCAATAGTGTTCTGGGAGTCCTGGCCAAACAGGCAAGAAAAAAAAAAACCCCCAAGTATTCAAATAGAAAAAAAATAAAACTCCTTTTTCTATAGAAAACCCAAGAAAAGGCTCATAGGGCTAAAGTGAGGCTACTGAGGTTTCAAGTCACAGGTCCCCCACAAGCATCAGTCATGCTTCCATATATGAGCCACGCACGACGAGAACACAAAATGTCTGACAAGTACTATTTACAACAGTCCCTTGAAAAATAAAATATTTCGATATAAATCTAACAAAATGTTTATAGGATTTGCATGCTGACAGCTATAGTATATTTAGGAAAGACATTTAAAAAAATCTAAATACATGGAGAGATACGCCAAGTTAAGGGATGTGAAGGTTCAATGTAGTTGAGATGTCAATTCTTGCCCAAATGTTTTACAACAGCTTCAATGGGATATAATTCACATACCATAAAATGTGTCCTTTTAAAGTAATCAATTGATTTTTAGTATATTCACAGAATCGTGGAACCATTACACTGTCTAATTCAAGAACACTTTTATAACTCCCCACAAAGCTCTGTCCCATTAGCAGTCACTCCCCCAGGCAACCACTAATCTGTCTTCTATCTCAATAGATTTGCCTCTTCTAGACATTTCATATAAATAAAATCATACAATATACGGTCTTTTGCTACTGGCTTCTTACACTTATAATAATATTTTCTACGCTCACCCATGCTACACACTGCGTTATCAGTCCTTCACTCCTTTTAATTGCTGAATAATATTTTATTTATGGATATACTATATCTTATTTATTCATCCATTAGTGGACATTGGGGTTATTTTTACTCTTGAGCTACGATGAATAATGATGGTAAGAACATTTGTGCACAAGTTTTATTTTTAAATTTTTTTTCATTATTGATTTGAGAGAGAGAGAGAGAGAGATAGAAACATCGAAGAGAGAGAACATCAACTGGATGCCTCCTGCATGCCCCCCACTGGGGATTTGGTCCACAACCTGGGCATGTGTCCTGACCAGGAATCCAACCAGCAATCTCTTATTGCTTGGGTCAACGCTCAACCACTGAGCCACACCAGCCGGGCTTTATGTGAATATATATATTTTTTCCAGATAAATACCTAGAAGTAGAATTGCTGGCTAAGAGAGCAGATCTATCTATTCTGAGGAACAGCCAGACTGGTTTCCAAAGTGGCTATACCACTTTACCTTCCTATTTCCCCCCCATTGATCTATAGATTAAAACAACCCCAATAAAAATAGTCAGCAAGGTTCTAAAGTTTATATTAAAGGACAGAGGAACTAGACTAGCCAAATAATTTGAAAAAGAAAAAAAAAATTGGAGCATTTCCACTACCTATATGAAGATATAATATAAACCTACAGACAGCTGGTAAAGGACAAACACATAGACCAGTGGAATATAAGAGAGAACTCAGACACCTACACAAATATTGTTCACTGGTTTTTGACACAGGCACAAAAACAATTCAAGGAGAAAGAACAATCTTTTCAACAAAGTGTGCCTGAATAACTGGGTTATCAATATGCATAAAAATAATCCTCTACCTGTCTCTCAGACCATAAACAAAAATTAATTTAAAGTGAATTGTAGCCCTGGCCGGTTTGGCTCAGCGGTTAGAGCGTCGGCCTGCGGTCCTGATACACCCGGGTTCAGTTCCCGCTAAGGGCATGTACCTTGGTTGTAGTTTGTCCCTGGCCCTGGTTGGTCGTGTAGGTGGCAGCCACTTGATGTGTCCCTTTCACGTCGATGTCTCTCTCTCTCTCTCTCTCTCTCTCTCTCTCTCTTCCTCTCTCTCCCTCCCACTCTATCTGAACAAAAAAATGGAAAAAAATGTCCTTGGGTGAGGATGCAAAAAAAAATTTTTTTAAATAAAGTGGACTGTAGACCTCAAAGTCAAAAGTAAAACTATAGCCCTGGCCAGTTTGGCTCAGCGGTTAGAGCACTGGCCTGTGGTCCAGAGAGACCTGGGTTCGGTTCCCGCTAAGGGCACATACCTCGGTTGCAGTTTGGCCCTGACCCTCGCTGGTCGTGTGGGTGGCAGCCACTCGATGTGTCCCTTTCATGTCGATGTTTCTCTCTCTCTCTCTTCCTCGCTCCCCCTCCCACTCTATCTGAATAAAAAATGGAGAAATGTCCTCGGGTGAGGATATAAAAAAAAAGGTAAAACTATAAAATTATTGGCATAATCCATAAAACAATTTGATACACAGGACTTCATCTAAATAAGAAACTTTGTTTCGCAAAGAATACTATACAGAGGAGACAGCACAGCAGGAGAAAATATTAGTAAAACACATTCTAACAAAGGTGTTTTATCCAGAATGCAGAAAGAACTCTCAAAACTCAGCAAGAGCCCTGGCCAGTTTGGTTCAGCAGTTACAGTGTTGGCCCATGGACCAGAGAGTCCAGGGTTCGGTTCCTGCTTAAAGGCATGTACCTCGGTTGCAGTTTGTCCCTAGCCTCAGTTGGGGTTGTGTGGGTGGCATCCAGTCGATGTGTCTCTCTCGCATCAATCTATCCCTCTCCCTCTCTCTCCCCCGCCCACTCTGTCTGAAGATTAATGCAGAAAAAAATGTCCTTGGGTGAGGATAAAAAAAACTCAGCAAGAAAACAAACAATCCCAATTAAAAAGGGGCCAAGACTTTAACCAAATAAGATACACAGATGCCACTTTATACCCACCAGAATGTTGATAAAAGTACTAAGAAAACCAAGTGTGATGATGCAGAGTAGCTGCAATGCACACCTTGCCTTGTGCAGCCATCCTGGACAACAATGAGGCATGGTTAATACAGAAGTCAAACACAAACTCACCGTAAGATGCAGCAATCCCAGCCCTAGGCATTTACACAGAGAAATGAAACATGTCCACACACCACCATGTACACAGTGTTTATATGAACGATGCTTGTAACAGTCAGAAACTGGAAGCAACTCATATGTCTTTCAGTAGATAAATGGTTAAACTGAGATACATTCATGCCTCAAACACAGATGAGTAATAAGGAGGAACAAGCTGTTGTGATCAACACCCAGATGGACCTCAAATGCATCATGAAGGAAGTAAAGAGTCTTCAAAGGCTACATGCTGTGGTTCCAACTTATACTACATCTGGAGAAAGAAAACCACAGGGCAGGGGGCAGAGCCTGGGTCCATGCACATGTGAAAACTGAAGTGACATCACACCAATAAGGAACAGATTTTACCATATGTAAATTAAAAGGTAATTTGTAAAAACTTAAAAACAATTTTTTTCTTTATTGATTTTTAGAGAGAGAGGGAGAGAGAGATAGAAACATTGATGACAGAGAACATCGACTAGCCAGTTCCTGCATACCCCCAACTGGGAATTGGGCCCACAACATGGGAATCGAACCAGCGACCTCTTGGTGCATGGGTCGATGCCCAACCACTGAGCCATACCGGCTGGGCTATAAAAACTTTTCATCGTAAAAAAAGTAAAGCAAATCACAAGCAAAAATCAACCTAAAATATAAAAAAAATAGGCACTCCACAATCTATCAAACTTCATAAATCAGGAAAATCATAAAATTATTTTCATTAGGTAAAAGTCAAATAAAATTCTAATTTCATCAGATTATTATATTCTTAGTCAAAATTTCCTTTCGTAAACATGTATCAAACACCCTCTCGTGGCAAGGGCCATGTGTGACAGTGTGTGTGCATGTATTTGTGTCTGTGAACAGGGTAGATAATTGGCTAGAATGTTAAATAAGATACTGTGGCCGTTAGGGAGGAAGGAGCCCAGAGTGGCTAACTAGCTAGCCATGAAGGAAGCCCAGCTCACTTCACCCTCAACCCCCGCAGGAGTGGGAGTCACATACACTGAGAGCGCAGCCCTTCAGCAGGTGGTGCTTGAGTGTTTTCTCCAGCCGGGAGGCGGCCCTGCACAGCTCCGCCTTCTCCTGGGTCACGGTGCTGAGAGCGTTGGTAAGAGAATCATTTTCTTTCAGTAACACGTCCACCAGCTGGACCTGTACCTGTGCTGTTATTTTTTTCTTGAAAGAAGAAATAAAAAATAAATGTACAGGACTTTTGTTAAAAAGCATACACACTGCCCTGGCCAGTTCGGCTCAGTGGTAGACCAATGAGTCACATGTATCTCAGTTGCAGTTCGTCCCTGGCCCTGGTCAGGGTCATGTGGGAGGCAAGCAGTCGGTATGTCCCTCTCACATCAATGTTTCTCTCTCTCCTCTCTTCTCTCCCTCTCTCCCCTTTCCACTCTGTCTTAAGATAAATAGAAAAATATCCTCAGGTGCAGATTTTTAAAAAAAAGCATACATGCTATTTGTGTTTTTTATTGTTGGTTGTTTTTAGGTATTATCATTTTCAATGTTTCTGGGATTCAATGGGAAACTTGTGGAGCTAGAAAGAGTTGTCCATCTGTGGAACAGGCAATAATAAAAGTTTTCAAAACACATTTCTTTCCAATCCTCTATGAAACAGATTTGACACAAAATTGGACTATACAAACAAAGTAGGCCTATTACAGATACGACACTCTTTGCTAATAACACTGCAGACAGGTAGCATCTGAGGTGACCAGGGAACATTGTGTGCTCATCCCTGAGGCCCAATGAGTAAGTCCCTTAAAACAGGATCATTATCCTCCTAATCAGAGGAACCTTCAGCCTGCGGAGGGCATGGGACACTGAGGAAGCCATGGGGCCCAAAAGACAAGAGGGCAGGATGTACTACACCCACCCACCAACTACACTCAGTGAGCAGGTCAGAGATAAGATGCATCAGAGAGGGCAAGCGGTCAGAGGGTGAGCAGGTCAAAGGTGCTCATCACATGCACACTGCTTTCAGATAAACATCAAGATTTTATAATTATCAGAGTGCATTTATTAGAAATTTGTATCAGCAACTTCAAATGCCTTCAGATGCAGCTGATGGGGAGCACAGCACTTCCCCTTCAGCCTCGGAGGTCCAAATCACTGAGGCTCTCAACACAAGTCCTCAAAGAGCAGGCTAGGATGGAGCACAACAGACCACCAGGCCAGGAGGCACCAGAGAAAGCGCAAGTGAGTGCCCCTTCCAGACACAGGAGAAGGCACATGCTTACTCATCCATACTGAAAACTTAAAAACAGAGAAGGAGGTAATGAGGGAAGAATAACCAGTCACAATAAAAAAGAAACCAGGCCCCAGGCCTCAGCAGCTGTCTCTCACCTAGAGGAGTTGGATTCTCACCTGGGGAGAGGTAGACGTGCTCAGCTGGGACTTGAGTTCCTCTAACATCTGCAATAAAGACGTCACTGCTTTCTCGTTTGATGACGTCCAATCATTAATTGTCCTGTAAAAATAAACAAACATTTTAAAAGTTCATACAAATTCCATTCGACCATCAACTAATGCCAAGCAAGACACTGTGAAGATGAGTTTGTGGCCCTGGCCGGTTTGGCTCAGCGGTTAGAGCGTTGGCCTGCGGTCCGGAGAGACCCGGGTTCGGTTCCCGCTAAGGGCACGTACTTCGGTTGCAGTTTGTCCCCGGCCCTGGTTGGTCGTGCGGGTGGCAGCCACTCGATGTGTCCCTTCACGTCGATGTTTCTCTCTCTCTCCCTTCCTCTCTCTCCCTCCCTCTCTATCTGTACAAAAAATGGAAAAATATCCTCGGGTGAGGATAAAAAAAAAAAAAATGAGTTTGTGAGAGCCAGGGGTTCCGGGAGGACCTTGTGTGGACCACTGGTAATGTGCTTGTCAAGCATTTCATCAAGCCACGTTTTGTCCATAAAGGTGGCTGCTGGGAGCCCCCAGTGATGGTGGCAGCAGAGAGGCAGTGTAGCTCTGGGGTGGTCAGTCTATAAAGCTCAGAAAACTCCAGCCACTGACCATTGAGGCTCCCTCAGCACTTCCCCTCCTACTCCTGCTTTCTGCTGGGATTGTGTCAGTTATTAGAACAGTGTCCTAAATGAATCTTTGTTGCTCTATAAAGTAAACCCAACTATAGAGAGGAGAATTGTGTTTAAGTTTCTGTGCGTATAGAAAAGGGCAAATGTCAACATTAATTGTTCTGTTCAAACAAAACACCTGTCTCGGCTTCTCAACTGTGAAACATATTCTCTTCACATGAATGGCAGCCCCAGAGCCTCGCGTGAGGCTGACACAGCAGATACCGGCAGTGCCCAGCTTAGCAGGCTCAGGGGGGGCTGGCATCAGGCCTGAACCCTCTGGGTGGTGAACAATTATAAAGGGGTGTGGGGAGAACCAATTTAAAAGAAACTCAAATTTTTCTGACATACTAGAAGTCAAGAGAGCGCTGCCTCTAACCTATCCAAGCACGTGGGACGAGAAACAGAGTTTAATTAAAACATGGACCTAAATCGCAGACACACCCAAGTCTGGTTCTCCGTGACTGACCTGTCTACAGTCTGGTTGATGAAGCTGGTCAGCAGCCCTGCTGCACAGAGCAGCTGCTGCCGAATCATCTCCAGGCCCTGCTGCTGCTCTCGGAGATGCTCTGATTCTGGGGGCAGGTGCGCTACCTCCCTGGCCTCCAGCTCCCTCATCTTCTGCTGAAGTTGCTTGATCTTGTGCTCGTGACGCTGGCGCTGCAATTCTAACTCTCTCTGTTGTCAATGCAGAACAGAAAAGACCATCACACACATTCCAGAAACCTAGCCCTACACCACGGGGCTCCACCCAGCATCAGATTCAGGGGCTGGACTGCTCTGCACACCACCCCCAATGGGACCTCCATGCTGGGTGCTTCAAGTGTAACATGAGGTCAGAAGAGCCCCTGCCTCAGAGACAGCACAATCCAATTGCAAAATCTAAGGGATGAGGTTTTGTGTTTATTTCTGAGAACATCTAGACTTTCATAGGCCCAGGGTAAGCATGAGTACAAAGGAGAAGGGCAAGGACACTGACACCTGCAGGGACAAAGCCTCATAGGCCCAAGTTCTGGTCCCCTACTCTCAACACACACATTCATGTACATATCAACACACAGACACAGAACATGCATGTGCATATGCATACCATGAATCTGGGGGTCCCCTGGGGCCTCACTAACCGAAAACCCCCCAAATGGTACAACGTTCTCCCCCAAGGAGGTACTGGGAAAAGTCAGTCAGCAAGGATGCACTCCCTACCCAATACCCAAAACCTGAGTCTCCACTAGAAGAGTTAACCCTTCGACGGTGACCAGACTGGGCAGAGGCAGTTGGCCAAGGACAGCTCAGGGTAGAAGGGACTCCTCATGGGGAAGAGAAGTCCGTGTGACTGGAAATGAGCAGACAAGGCTCTGCCAAGCTGGGGACAGAACCTCTGGAGCCCAGAACCCAAGCTGAGCCTCCAGCTGCACAACCCCTGCACAGTGAGGATGACATGGCCGAGGTCGCCGGGTATGGGGTTTACAGAACCCCCCCCTTTCAGTGCATCACGAAAAACTGTTATAAATTTAACTCAGAAAACATTTCTTTGTAATTATGTCTTTTAAGTAATCATGTTATACCACTCAGTTTTATAAAGAAATATCAAAACTAAATTAAATAAAATTGTTTGGCGGAAACTTTATATGCGGTTTGGGGAGGTCATCTGAGAAGCACATGAAGGCTATAGACCCCTTTTCCCAGGAGAAAAAAAGGCCAACACACATTCATGCACAAAATCTTGAATGCATTCTGGGGTTCCTAAGTCACCAAAGCCCACCCAGGGACTTAATTCCACTCGCCTCCACAAAACAACTGGGGATGCCATCTGGCTGCACACTGCTCCACTTTTCAAGACATCTGGTGATAAACATCACAACTATTTAAAAGGTTAACACAGTGAAAAATATTAATCATACTGACACATGCTACAACATGGACAAACCTTGAAAGCATGAAAGAAGCCAGACACAAAAGGTCACTAAATCTGTATGATTTCCATCTAGAGCTGGAAAGTAGATTAGTGGTTGCGTGGGGCTAGGATGGGGAATAGGGAGCGACTGCTCATGGGGATGGGGTTCCATGTTGGAGTGATGAGCATGTTCTAAAACTGACTGTAGTGATGGTTGAACAGCTCTTTCAAAATACCAAAAACCAGTGAATTATGCCACTTACACGCGTAAACTCAATGGTATGTAAGTTGTATCTCAGTAAAGCTGTTAAAAATACTAATTATTTCCCTCATGTTAACTTACTGATTATATAGCATTTGGAATATTGTATCATTTAGAAACCTAGAGTTTTGTTCTTAGAAACACATATTCATTTCTCAACTTTCATGGCAGGCTAACTTCTGGAAAAAAAACTAGGCCATTCATTTTCATTGTGCATTTTTAAAAACTTTTTATAATCTGTAAAAACAAAAATTGTGAAAGTTTTTTTTCCAAGTTTTTAGAAAATATTTTTTAAACAGGTCAAAATAAATGTCAATCCATGAGAAGGCACAGGATATAATTTCCTTAGAAACAAAGGCTTTTGTTTGACAGAAAATGTATCTAAAACTAAGGCCCATCTAAAAAATAAAAGAGGGAATACTACCCAGCCCATCAGGTGAGGCCCAAATCATCCTGATTTCAAAAACCAAAGATATCACAAGTAAATAAAACTGCAGATCAATGTCCCTTATGAATACAGATGCAAAATACTAGCAAACTGAATCTAGCACCATATAAAAATAATTATACACCAAAATCAAGTGGAATTCATCCCAAGGAATGCACAGATGGCTTGACATATGAAAATCAATGTAATACACCATATCAATAGAAGAAAGTTCAAAAACCATAGATCTCAAAAGATACTGAAAAAGCAAAATCCAATATACTCTTATGATTAAAAATAATGAAGATTTAAAAAGCTAGCAATAGAAAAGAATTTCCTCAGAAACAGGATATCTCAAAAATCCCATAACTCCCATCTACTTGAAGGGGAAAGACTGTCTGCTCGCCCTACAGTCAGTGAGGAACAAGGCACGATATTGCCTCACCACTTCCATCAATGTTGCATCGTAAGGTCTAGCTAGGGCAGTCAGGCAGGAAGAGGAAATGAAGACATCAGATGGAAAAGGAAAACTATGCCTATGTGCAATGACATGATCTTGTACATGGAAAATCCCAGAGTCCATTAAAAAATACTAGGACTAATGAACAAGTACAGTTAGGTTGAGGGACACAAGTTCAGCATACAAAAGTCAACTGGACTGCTGCTGTACACCAGCAATGAACAGTCTGAAGTAAAACTAAGAAAAAATTCCATTTATAGCAACATCAAAAACAATAACATACTTAGCATAAGTTTAACAAAAGTACAAAGCTTATCATCTTAAAGTTACAAAAAACTGTTGAAAGACATTAAAAGACCTACATGAATGGAGAGATCTCATTTCACAGGTGGGAAGAACATGATGAAGGTGACAATATTTCTCAAAGCAACCTAAAGAGCTGGTGCAATGCCTGTTACAACGCCAATGGCCTTTTTTACAGAAACAAGTCAGTCCTCAAACGCGTGTGAAACTGCCAGAGTCCCCTAGATCCAAACGACCGTGAAAAAGAACAAAGTAAAGAGATGTACACTTCCTGACTTCCAATTCTGCCATAGAGTTGCAGTGGTTACTGCTTCTAGCATAGGACATTACAGGCAAGCTGAATAGTAGGGACCAGAACAAACCCCCCATTCTGCGGGTCACCCTAACCCTATCAACTTGGTTGCTAAGTGTTGATATTGGCCAAGGGCGGCTCTCACCAGTTTCTCCTTGTCTCTCTGCCACTTCTTCCACTTGTCCGCATCTGCCCGACTCTGCCTTGTCTCCACTCTTCTCCTTGTGTCCTTGAGTCCTCCTTGCTCTGCCAACCTCGTGTGTAACTGCTCTAACTTTGCCTGCAGCCATGTGGGCTTCTCCCTCTCCCTGTCCCGATCACAGCTCGGCTCTGGTTTGGGGGTCCGCAGGGCCTGCACAGTGGACCTCAGCTTGGCACTCACCTCCTTCTCTCTCTCAAGCTCTGCACAGCGCCTCCGAACCTCAGCCTCCAGCTGCTGCTGAGCACACACAGCATGCTGTTGTACTTTCTCCAGTGCTGCCTGCAGCTCTGCCACCCGGGTCGTCTCATCTTTCAGCTTCCGCAGCAGCGCACGGTGCACCTGTGTCTCCTGGTGAGCACAGGCCTCCTGTGCCCGCCGGCTCAGCTGCTCTGTCAGGACTCGCTCGTGCTGCAAGGCCTCAGACAGCTCCAGCGAGCGGCCCTGCGCAGCCTCCAAGTTCCGGTGTAGCTTGGAGAGCCGGCTCCGCTCCTGCGCCAATAGTGCCTCACAGCGCGAGGACTCAATCTGCAGCTCTTTTTGAAGGTTGTCCTTTGCTGTCTGCTCATGTTTCAGTGCTACACATAGTCGATTATTCTGAGCATATTGCTTCTCCAAAGATATTCTTAAGTCCTGGATCAGGGAAATATAAAATGGAAAAATAAAATCTAAAGAAAAGTACCTAAAACCGTTTTCCTGCCCAAGTTTCTGTTTCTATTCTTTGGCCAGCAATTATACCTTTTGAAATTTACCTTGTGGATGAAAGAAGTATGTATGGCTGACCCTTCAACCACGTGGGTGTTAGGGGCACCGACCTCTCTTGAAGTCAGAAATCTGCATGTAACTACAGTTGGCCCTCTGCATGTGCCAATCCCCAACTACAAAGCTGACCCTTGGAACAATGCAGGTTTGAAGCGCCCCAGTCAAATGAACCAGCAGTCAAGTGAAAATCCACAAATAAGTAGACCCACATAGTTCAAAACTGTGTTTTTTAAGAGAACTGTGTAATCATTTTTGTTACTTTTTTTGATAAATGCACATATACATCCTGGGTTCATTCTCCCTTCCTTAGAACCACAATATCCAGGACACTAGAAGACACACATGCAGTTTGCACTGAACGATGGCCCGTGTTGTTAAAGACAGCTTCGCCCAAACCGGGAAACTGATGGTCAGCTTGGCCAGGACTACAGAACACCTGCTGGACACGTGGTTATCAAGCTGCCAAACAAAACACTAATTCACACACACCATGCATCCCAAGAAGGAGCTGGGTCACTGCCATTTATCTGGTTAACACAGGCTTCTGAGGCTGTACCTTGTGCGAAGACCAGCCAAGAGGCTGCGTCCACCCTGCAGAACCAAACTCTCAGAGATGGTGGGGACATGTGTGGCACAGCACTGGCATCATGGTCATCACACAGTCTGTCACTGCAAAGCTGCCGAATGTTGTACCTGAAGACGCTGCCGAATGTTGTACCTACCTCACTACCTCAAAATCCTATCACCTGGGCCTGCTTTCCCCAACAAGAATGAGAGGCAGCATCAACGAGAATGGCCTCCCAGCTCCCACCCCTGGCTGGTATAGTGACGAGGCCAGCCCTGGTCCCCTCACCTCCAGAGCCTTGGAGTTCTGGCCTTCCCTCTGCAGGTGCTGCAGCTGCTCCTGCTCCAGCCGGCTTTGCAGGGCATGCTCCTTCTGGCGCTCGCCCTCCAGCTCCTGAAGTGCAGCCTTCAGGTCGTTCTCCTTGCTGTCTAGTACGGACCTGTGCAGGAAGAGAGGCTATCATGCCCATGTTGTCCAACACTCTGAGGAGACACAGACTGGCCTTCAGGGGCCGGGGGCTCCCAGGATGAGGACAGTGGGCCCTGTTGCTTCCTTATTATCTGCACACATGCTCAGTCCTGCCTTCCCGCTCTAAACACACAGGATCAGGGCATCTTTGTCCAACACCTACCAAGCATGCAGCACCCACAAGTCATGACACCACAGGCTCTGTAACCTCACTGCCAAGAAAGATGTATTGAGAACTATGTGACTTCCATTTATTCTTCTAAAAAAAGTCTGACGACAGCCTGGGGGTTAGCAGGCTGCGTATCACGAAGGCAGTGCCAGTGCCGTACCTCAACTGGAGAACCTCCTTCTGCACGTCACTGAGAGACTTCAGCAGCCTCTCATTGTCCTGTTTACACTCACAAAGCTCAGATTTCAAAGCTTTGACTGCATTCTGCTCCACCAACAGCAGCTTCCGGACGTTATTTGCTTTCTCTTGCTCTTCATTGAGGGTTTTCTGCAGATCACTCACTATACATTTTTCCTGCTCAACTTTATATGCCAGTAATTCAACTAAGAAAAAAATTAAAGAACATAAAGTAGGATTATTCATGAGTCCAAAGAGAGCTGTACAGATGATTTAATTACAGACATGCCAATAAGGGCACAGGGAGAATGACGTTTCTGTAACCAAAAAAACCATCGCTTCTGATGGTGCCAGGACACTCAGGGATAGATTCCTTCTGCCTGTTGCTGGTTCCTCCACCATGCATGGTACCAGACCTCACCCTACTGGCTGGGGCGCACCCAAAAACTCGTGGGCAGAAAGCATGCATGATACACATAGGCCATGATGGCCATGCGAACACAATATGGTTCCCTAGGGTGGGCCACACGCCCTCTCTGCCCCTGCAACAATTCAGACCTGGGGTCTCCCTGGAGGCAAAGTATGGACTAAGCCAAGATGGATCTGCATGTGGGAGGTGGCTCAGAGCAGAAAAGCCAAGTATGACCATCCCTGTGGTCATTTTAAAATGCCATGCTACCTGCCACTCCTATGTTAAATGCCTCCCACCATAGACAACTCCAGTCCAGATGGCTTCAATACAGAATTCTCTCAAAACTTAAGAAATAAATCTAGTTCTATAAAAACTCCTCTGAAAAACAGAAGAAGCAGACAGATATCAATCGTCCATGAGGCTGATACTACTCCAATAACAAAACCAGAAGAAAGAAAACTACAGACTAGTATCTCTCATGAATGCAGATGCAAAATATGAGCAAACTCACCCAGAAATGCACAAAGGATAATGCCACAGAGAGGGGTCAAGCCAAAATGCAAGACTGCTCCAACTAGACAGACTTAGTTGGCCATCATTCAGCTTCCAAAACTAAGAAGGGACTTGCCAGAGCTGATAGAGGGCATCTGTGAGGATCACAGTTAACTTCCTATTTAAGGCTAAGGCATGGATAGAGTGCTTCCTTCCCCTGTGGCCAAAAGCAGGGACAGACACTCCATTCACTGCGTGCTCAAGGGCCTGACTGGTGGTCAGCAAGAGAAAAGGGTAGATGAGAAAAACAAAATGGTTTTTATTCACAAGTGCCATGAGGGTCTATATTTAAAAAAAAAAAAAATCTAATTAAGTGTACAAACTACAAACAGCTACTTAAGTCCTGCGACTCTCCTAAACATGGTCCTGCTGGTACCCAGCACACCTGCTCAGAGACCAGCCCCCCACACTGCCTACTGGGACCCTTGGCAAAGCCTCTGCCCTGACTGGTCTCTCGGAGTCATTTTTACTCAGAGTTCTATGAACTAAGCAATGTTGCAGCCAGTGTTCTGATGAGGCTGAAAGTTCCTGTACTTAAGGACCTAGAGAAACCAGGATGTCACTGTTGCCACCAGATCCAGCTCTGGGCAGTCCAGAGGGGGTTCGCTAACCTGCATGCTACCTTACCCACCAGGTGAACCTCAGGGCTGGGACTCGAGGGGTTATACCCACCCTGCCTGCGCAGCTGGTGCTCTTGCTGGCTCCCACGGGCCTCTGCATTAGTCAGCGCTGCACACAGCTGCTGCAGCTTCTCCTGGTTCTGCAGGTGCGTCAGCCGCAGTTGGGCTCGCAGGGCCTGGATCTCGGACAGCAAGCTGCTCCTGTCAGATTGACGTAGGTGCTCCAAGGACTTCTCCTGCAGGTCCCCCTGGAGACCAGTTAAAAGGAGGACAGCAGTCAGGTAGAAAGGCTCTGCAGGGAGGGCGTGCCCACCCCCATGGGGAAAACAGGATGAGAAGGGAGCATGTCCCAAGTGCTGGTGGCTCCGGGCAGGAGCAGCCCACTCTCTGCACACTCAAGCCTCCAATGTTGCTGGATAAGCTGCTGACTCTGTTTGAGTCCCTAACTGCAGGTAAGAATGCAGTTGGCTGAGGACATGAGTGACCTTCCACCCTCAGAACCTTGGTCTGTACCCGGGAGCTGCTCTGACCTACCGTGCACCCTGATTCAAAACTTATGTCCTCTCCCACCAACCTCCAACCCTGGGTTCAGGGCTCACAACCTGGGGCAGCCTAAAAATGCTTTTGCTTTCACAGAAAGGCCAGTTATTTCTAGAACAGAACGAGGTGTAAAGGAGAGTAGAGACATATGATTCTCCTTCAGTGTTGTAGAATTCTTGCAGAAACATGGTGTTACACTTGGTCTGAAACAGGGTTTCCCCTCAGTTATAGTCACGTTCCCAGGTCAGCTGAAACAGGGTTAAGCTCCGAGGTAAACCAGACCAAGTTTACCTGTTCCTGGACCACCTTCTGCAGTCTCTCTACCAGGGCGCCATGGGCCCTGGGGCCAGAGCCACAGAGTTGTGGCTGCAGCTCCACCGTCAGCATCTCCCGCTCCTTTTCAAATGCCTCCTGAATGACCTGCAGGAATTCTCCTCTCCAGTCGAGGCAGGTGTCAGAAGGTTCCTGAAATTGGAACAAGAAGCTGAGTGTTTGCAACGGATGCATCTGTGGGTTAGAACAGGAGCCACCCCTACAGGAGAGGAAACACATGAGCACCCAACAGTCCACACACAGCATGCTGCCATCTGAGCAGAGAAATCACTGGTGAAACAAGGTCAAACAAAGTCAGCAGTCAAACCTCTTTTTTCCAACACAAGGCCCTGGGTCTAGAGAAGGCCCAAGGTCAGAAATGACGCTGGGTGGGGGTGTGTATGTGCGCATGCACAGGTGGCCACCCTCTGGCCATCTGCTCTGGACCTCCTCCCCTGCAGGTCCATCCTAGGGGCCCATCCATACTCCCTCCAAAGCCCATGGCACGCTGGCTCCCCTTGGACATGGTTCACATTTGGCCCTCGCTTCTGCATTGCCCCCTCTCCTGGCCAGCCTGGCTCCCTGGCTGCAGAGTGGACACTGAGATCCTGTGGGCTTGAGCCTGGACCCCAAACCCACCTCCTGGAAGCCTCTGCTGCCCTAATAAGGGCCCAGAAGAGGCCAGCATGTGGCTAGTGCCTAGAAATGCCAGTGAGAGGGTGGTTGGTTCCTGCCACCACTGACCACCTCTTTCCCTATTCCTGCTTATTTTACTAAACAATTCACTCAGACTGGTCCAAACTCACTGTTTCTCTGTACCTTAGTGCCCTGTTGGTGTGTTGGGGTTAGGTGCCCCCTCAGAGCTGGCACTGCCTGCAACGGGCCTTGGCCACTCCTCAGAAAGTGCTCAATGGGTGCACTTGGCTCGCCCTTGCTCAGTGCGCTGGGGTATCCATGGTATTCAGACAGGGCCAGGATATGGTGGCTCTCATCATACACCATCTGCAGCAAAGCCTACAACAGGACAAGCATTTCAGAAAGGAGGAAAAGCAGCTTGAAAGCACTCATCCATTCACTGTCCTGCCCTCGCCCTGAACATTTGCTGGGGCCACCTGCATGGTACTCACGTGGCCTCTGTACCAAAGAGCAGAACCTGCTGTTCTATGAGGTTTTCAAACCTCCCTCGCCCATAACCATCAGAGACAGCAGCAAATTGGTTTTGAGAAAGTGAATTTCTGTATAAGCCACTCCAAGGACAATCCCCATGATTTAGCCATCCCATTTGTTCTTATACAGTGAACACCATCCCTCCCCTAAGCCTAAAAGAAGCTCAGAGCAGGGCTTCAGGCCAGCTTCTGCAGAGAGGTCACAAAGACTCCATGCACTTTCCTGGCTCTCCTGGGACCACAACTGTCACACTATGAGGAAGCCCCATGGGGAGGTGTGTACATGTGTCCCAGCTAATGGGTGACACCTCAGATAGCACCAGGCCAGCTACTGACCACTCTGACCCTCTAATGCCCCCAAAGGATGTAAACAAACAGTCCCCAATGTGCCCTGAGTTCTTGCCCCACGGTCTGTGAGCACAGGAGAAGGTCCTTTATTATAGAGCATGAGGAACTGGGCATGCATCTATGTCCTGCCCAAGGAGTCTTAGAGAGGAGGAAAGCTGTCCTCATGGAGAAGCTGAGCCATCTGAGCAGAGCGTGATCCTCATGCAACACCCTGAGGCCAACGGTGCAGTTACAGAATGGACCAGAGATGGTGCCCACCAACGCACTTTGCCCCACTCCCACAGCCCATTACCTTAACTTGCTTCGGGTGGACTTCTTTCATGGCTTCCAGTGGCTGTTGGAAACTTCCCAAGGCAGGGGGTGACACTGCAGGACTAGCAGTGGGAGCTTCAAGTCCTCCTGTACCTTGGTTTAGTGTCTCTCCACACCCAGAGCCATCACCTAAAAAAACACTACCAAGTCAGGATCTAAAACTGCAGTTCTGCCCTGGCCGGTTTGGCTCAGCGGTTAGAGCGTCGGCCTGCGGTCCTGAGAGACCCGGGTTCGGTTCCCGCTAAAGGGCGCGTGCCTCGGTTGCAGTTTGTCCCCGGCCCTGGTTGGTTGTGCGGGTGGCAGCCACTCGATGTGTCCCTTTCACATCGATGTTTCTCTCTCTCTCTCTCTCTCTCTCTGTTCCTCTCTCTCCCTCCCACTCTACCTGAACAAAAAATGGAAAAATGTCCTCCGGTGAGGATTAAAAATAAATAAATAAATAAAACTGCAGTTCTCTCAGGGGCATTCCTGGGTACACTCGGTAGAATGCTGAGGGTTGTCAGACCCCCTTCCCCCACTGGCCTGTGCCATGTGAGGCTGGGCCCCGAAACACCCAGAGGCCTCTACAGCTGAAATCTTCTCCCGGAAAAAAAATCAATGAACCACAAAGATCATAAAAATATTTTTATGAAAACATCAGATGAGAACTACATACACTAAATAAGAAAAAGTGTATTTTGCACATTTAAAATGTTAATGTTCATGAAACATAAACCTTCAGTCATTTTTGCATAGATATGGATGTGTGTTTCCTCATCCCCAAAGACAAAACTGGCAGGACTCTGCAAAGCAAGTGCTGTGGCTGAGACACACACAAACCCAAGGACGGGGTAAAGACAGGACGGAAACCCAGCCCTTGAGGACAAAGAGAGTGGGTAGGAGGAGGATGGGAAGTAGAAGATGCCAATAGTAAGGACAGGTTGGGATCAGGTAGATAAGTAGAAGATGTCTAGTCAGGAAAAGGTGAACATGCCTAACCTGGGGAGGGTAGGAGGGACAGGGGGAGAAAAACCCTAAAATCAGTCATTAGGGCTGGGGAACCCCGAACCAGGTCTGGAATTAGAGGCTCCAGGAACTTCTGTCCAATAGGGGCCTCAAATCAGAATTCAAAATCTTTCAGAAGAGCACAGGCTCCTGATCCATTCCTAAGCCCTACTGCTCGCAGCCAGTACAGGAAGGCTGGAAACACATGCTCTGGAAAATGGAGGGGGCACCCAATGAAAAAGCAGTTTCAGATCTTCTGGCTACTCCTTCCCAACAGCACCCAGCTTGGGGCAGGGAGAACTTTGGGGGACTGTTGGCAAGGCCCCTTGGCACTGAGCTTTCTGACAGTTGGTCAGGCTGCCCTGCTGAGTAGTACAGATTCTCAAACAGGCTGAAGAATGTTCAAACAGAAAAGACAGAGAGAAATGAAGACAGAGAAAGGCAGCACACACAAACAAGGTAAATGTCAGCACTGGGGAACCTGTGAAGGATATGCAGGAACTCTCGATGCTCTCTGGACTCTAAAACTAAAAATTAAGAGTTTTCAAAAAAAGATAATGAACTCACTGTTTTCAATTCCATTGCTTTTTCCTTTTAACCCAAGAGGAGGTGATCTTGACTTTTCTTGAGAATCAAGAGACGTTATAAAATCCTCAACATCTTTCTCCTATTCAAATAAGTAGAATTTTAAATTATCATAAAATAACTTACTACATCATAAAGTTGAATTTGCCTGATGAAAACTTTCTAAGGCCTGAATTTATCATCTTCCCACAAAGAACCCAAACAAAAGTGTCCAAAGCTATGGACACAGTGCAGTCACATGCTTCTAATATAATAATGTAATCATATTCACCCACAGTGCTCTAGGAATATTTTAAAGAAGTCACTAGCAAATATTTCAGATTAAAATATTTTTTCATGAAATGGTACTATTTGGATACTTCAAATAAAACATATCCCCACATTTATCTTTTATTTTATCTAACTCAAGATAAACAAAATACCAAAACTATGTTAGGAAAAACATAATCTAACAAAAATAATAAACTGAAGTACTCTTGAAATTAATTAGCACTACATGTGGAACCTGTTACATATGTAATACAATTAAAAATTAATCTAAAAAACATATTCTAAACAAAGAATCCATATGCAAACTACACTCAAAGATGAGTTTATGACTGTACTTCTCAAAGTCAGCGTTAGTTAAGAAACTTAGTCCTAGGGTGAATTTCTGAGTAGGATAAATTCATCTCATATACTTCCAAAAATCACTTAAATGTCTAAATATTCATATTAGAGTAGATTAGGGCAAGTCCTGCAAAAGCTGACAGTCCCTACACACAGCTGACCAGGGAACTGTGAAGTGTTTACCCACACCCAGCCCACAGGAGGTGAACCAACAATGGTTGCCGTTGTGACACCATGGGCCATGCAGACACAATCCCATGGGCACACACTTGGGCCCTGGGAACTCTACAGACAATGAACCAGGACAGCACCCGGGGAAGCCAACCTACCACAGCCATACGATGCACATGATGGTCAGCGGAGGAAGCCCTGTCTGCAGCCAATGAAGACTCTGCCCAACAAGGGGCCTTTACAACTGTTGACCCGCCAAGGGAACACAGCAATTCTGATGGGTCAGCCTGGAGCAGTGAGGCACTCCTCCTGTCCTTTAGGGAAGCATCCAGGCTGTGCTGGCTCAGGGCATCCAAGCAGGGTGTCAGGGGCAGGCTGGGTGATGGCTCAAGCATTGAGTCCTTCCTCACAACCTCTGGGGAGCTCCAGGAGGACAGGTCCATAACGCTAAGTGCATTCTTCAAGGGCTCAGCCTCGTCGGTTAAATCATGGGAGCTACTTGGCAAGTCCACCTGTAAACAAAGTGACCCATCCTGCAAATCTACCTCGTCTTCCAGGGGAACATTTGGCATTTCATATTTTATCAGTGAATCCTGATTTCCAACAATGTCAATTAGATCTTGTTTGAGTTTATTGATATTAAATGCATCAACAGGAGGCAATTTGTCAGTTTCTTCATGGTTACTGGAAGTACCACCTGAACTGTTTTCTAAACCATGAGAAAATGCCAATGGCTGTTGAGAGTTCACATCCTCTGTCTCGATGTTCTGGAAAGTCATAGAACATATCAGACGGTTCAGTTTTTCTTGAAGCTGTTTCACCTGAGTTATGAGATCAATTTTCTGCAGCTTAAAACCTTCCCATAGTTTTTCCTTATCCTACAAGTAAAAAAGGACATGCGTACAGTAAAATAATTGCATTACACAGTATAATATTTGTATGTCTGAGCCAGTTTTATTAGCCAATTTCAGAGACTGAGCAATTAAGAATGAGATTCCATGATGAGCCCTTTGGTCCCTCTAGATTCTTATTTCGGTTTTTTAAATTTTTTAAAAGATAGGCCCTGGCCAGTTTGGCTCAGCAGTTAGAGCGTCGGCCTGCGGTCCGGAGAGACCCGGGTTTGGTTCCCGCTAAGGGCACGTACTTCGGTTGCAGTTTGTCCCCAGCCCTGGTTGGTCGTGCGGGTGGCAGCCACTCGATGTGTCCCTTCACGTCGATGTTTCTCTCTCTCTCTCCCTCCCACTCTATCTGTACAAAAAATGGAAAAATATCCTCGGGTGAGGATTAAAAATAAATAAATAAATAAATAAATTTTTTAAAAGATAGGATCAAGACTTAAAACTCTGTGCCTAGCCCTGGCTGGTTTGGCTCAGCAGTTAGAGAGTCAGCCCATGGACCGAACGGTCTCTGGTTCTATTCTGGTCAAGGGCATGTACCTGGGTTGCAGGTTCGATCCCGGCCCTGGTCAAAGTCATGTGGGAGGTAATCAATCAATATTTCTCTTTATTTCTCTCTCTCTCCCCATTCCTCCCTTCCACTCTCTCAAAAGTATCCTCAGGTGAGGATTAACAACCACCACCAATAATGCTCTGTGCCTAAAAGGCAACTATTGGAGAGTATTTTGGAAAGATGGCACAACAGAAAACACCAAGCGTCCATTTCCCCACCTGGACATCAACTGCATTGGCTGAATCCTGTCTGCTGTAACTGGAGTCAAACCTCAGTTCCCAAACATCTCCCATCTCGGGCAATTCACTTCTCAACCTGACAACCCTTTCATGCTGATACCTGTATGATCAGTTACACTTCCCTCAGGCAACAAAAGAGAGAATGCGTGAGTATGAGTCAGTTTACCGCTAAATCTCATGGTATTAATTAACATCTCAGGAAATTCTGCTGTATTTTCATTTTTTTGCTTTTGTGTTTGTTGCTGCTTATAATTATTAAAATTTTCTTTTACTATACATTTTATTCCCTTTTTGTTAAATTTTCATTTACATTTTGTGTCCTTTTTGTTTTTAAAGTACATTAGACATGTATTATATATAAGAAGGGTTAAAGCACAGAATCATTTGGGGTTCTGGAATGGATTAATTCAATTTATATTATTTCTAATAAAAAAATGATTTAGTTTTCAAACAGCCTTCCAGAACAAATTAACTTTGAGAACTGAGGTTTCACTGTATTTTGGAACTCCAGAGCCTGTGAAAGGTTTACAACTTCCAAAGGAAGGCTTGAATGATCAAATGTAGCCAATTTGGGTCAATTTTACCTCTAAGAAGAATAGTAGCACCAAGCTGACATGGCTTAGCGGTTGAGCGTGGACCCATACACTAAGAGGTCTCCAGTTCAATTCCCAGTCAGGGCACGTGCCCAGGTTGTGGGCCAAATCCCCAGTATAGAGCATGCAGGAGGCCGTCAATCGATGTTCTCTCTCATCGATGTTTCTATCTCTCTCTCTCCCTCCACCTTCCTCTCTCTCTAGAATCAATGAAGAAAAAAAAATTTTTTTAATAATTAAAAAAAAAAAAGAATAGTAGCTATCTGTCCTCCCACCCCCAAACACGATGTAGGCAACTATGTGTGTGTTCCTAATGCATCTTGTACACAGATTGTGGAATCCTGGGTAGGCAAAAAGGACACTATGCTCCAAAGATTGGAGGCCTGTGCTCTGAGTGCTATTTCTGATCACAGAGGTGCACACAGAGGTGGGAAGCATGATTGCAGCCCCTACTCCTCTGGTGGAAGTGATATCCAGGAGGTTTAAAGGGCTAGTGCCTTTGATTCTACCCCTGCATTTTTATTTTTATTTTTGGAAAGAAATTAAAAAGTGGGACATTCAAAATCAACTACATATACAGAGGAAATTAGAAAGTGATTGTGTATGTCCAGGAAAGGCATAGGCTAGGAAAAGATCTGAGAAGAGTTTAAGTTTATCACCTCAGGCTGTTCCTCAGCACAGAGACAGCCTACAACAAACAAACAAACATAATAAAAAACAAACACAACAAACCCTAAAGAAGAGGAAGACTCTGATTTCCAGATTTGCTACATTATTAAATTCAAATGTTCAACATTCAACAATAACTATAACAAAAACAATCACAAGGCACACAAGGAAACAGGAAAGTACAGCCCATTCAGAAGAGATAAATAAATCAACAGAAACTATCCCTAATACAGACTTTATAGTAGACCAAAGAGACAAAGACTGACACAATTGTCTCAAAGATGCTCAAAGAACTAAAAGAAGATATAGAGAAAGTAAAAAAACAAATGTATAAACAAAATAGAACCATCAATGAAGAGACAAAAAAAACTAAAAAGAAACCAAAAAGAAATTATGGAGCTGAAAAGTGCAATAATTGACTAATTGACATTAAAAAAAAAAAAAAAAAATTCACTAGAGGGTTTCAAAGACAAATTTTCAGAGGCAGAAGAAAAAATAGTGAACTTGAAGACAAAACAATGGAAAAAACTGAGTCTGAGGAAAATTTAAAAAAAATTAGAAACATGAATGGGGCCTAAGGAACCTGTTTGGGAAACCACAAAGTGAATCAACATACTCACTGTGGGAGACCCAGAAGAGAGGGAAGGCAGCAGAATATTTAAGGACATAATGAATGAAAACTTCCCAAATCTGATGAAAGAAATGAATGAATATAAACATCCAAGAAGCTCAACAAACTTCAAGAAAGATAAACTCAAAGAGACCCGCAATGACACACATCATAATCAAACTTTCGAAAGAGAGAATTTTAAAGACAGCACGAGCAAAATACATCATATACAAGGAATCCTCAGTAAGATCATCTTTAGATTTCTCATCAGACACTTAGGAGACCAGAGGACAGTGGGTCAATATATTCAAAGTGCTAAAAGAATTAAATAAAAAACCTGTGAACTAAGAATCCAATATCCAGCAAAACTATACTTCAGGAGTAAGGAATTAAGACATTCCCAGGAAAATAACAGCTGAGAGAGTTTGTTACCACTAGACCGGCCTGCAAGAAATACTCAAGGGAGTCCTGCAGGGTAAAATGAAAGGACACTACACAGTAACTCAAATTACATGGAGAAATAATGATCTCAATGAAGGTAACACATGAGAAATTATAAAAACTAATGCTACTATAACAATGGTTTGTAACTCCACATTTTGGTTTCATCATAATTTAAATATATTTTTTAAATATTAGTCTAAAAGAGTATTACTATAACTTTAGTTTGTAACTCCCCATTTATTTCCTGCATATTAAAAAGTTTAATGCATTTAAAAGTATTATTCATTTGTTTTGGAGCACACAGGTATAAAAATGTAATTTTGTAACATCGAAAACTAAAAAGGGTAAGGAAAGCTATAAATGATATGTTACTGGAGTTAAGGTGGTATAAATCCAGATCAGAGTGTTATAATGTTAGAATGCTAAGTGTAATCTCCATGGTAACCACAAAGAATATAGCTATACAATATGCACAAAGAGAAATGAAAAAGGAATTTAAATATTTCACTTTAAAAAAATCAACTCAACACAGGGAAAACAGTAATGAAGGAAATGAGGAACCAAAAAAATAAACCCTACAAGACATAGAAAACAAATTGCGAAATAACAAAAGTACATCCCTCCTTATCAGTAATTACTTTAAATGTAAATGAATTAAAGCTCTCCAATCAAAGATAAAGACTGGCAAAACTGATAAAACCACATGACCAAACTATATGTTGTCTACACGAAGCTCACTTCAGACCCAAAAACATGAATAGGTTGAACATGAAATGATGGAAAAAAATATTCCATGCAAATATGAACAAAAAAGGAATACTGGTGGCTATATTAACATCAAACAAAATACACTTAAACCAAGAAAGGTTATAAGAGGCAATCAGTCTTCAAAAATCTCCCAACAAAACAAAGCCCTAGATCTGATGGTTTCACTGGTGAATTCTATCAAACATTTAAAGAACTAGTCTTAATCCTTCTTAAATGTTTCCAATAAACTGAAAAAGTAGTACCAGTCTCAGAGGGCTTCACTGGTGAATTCACCAAACGTTTAAGGAAGAAATTATACCAATTCTCTAAAGTCTCTTTCATAGAACATAAGAAAAGGGAATGCCTCTTAATTCATTCTGTGGGGCATTTACCTTGATACTAAATTCAAACAGTACAAGAAACGAAAACTATAAACCAATATTCCTTATGAACATTTATGCAAAAATCCTCAACAAAATACTAGAAAACTGAATTCGACAGCATATTAAAAGGATTAGCCCTGGCCAGTTTGGCTCAGCGGTTAGAGCGTCGGCCTGCGGTCCGGAGAGACCCGGGTTCGGTTCCCACTAAGGGCACGTACTTCGGTTGCAGTTTGTCCCCAGCCCTGGTTGATCGTGCGGGTGGCAGCCACTCGATGTGTCCCTTCACGTCGATGTTTCTCTCTCTCTCTCCCTTCCTCTCTCTCCCTCCCACTCTATTTGTACAAAAAATGGAAAAATATCCACGGGTGAGGATAAAAAAAAAAAAGGATTAGATGCCTTGATCAAGTGGTGTTTATTTCTGGAATGCAAGGGTAGTTCAACACAGAAAAATCAATGTAATATACCATATTAACAAAATGAATGAAAAACATCACACAATCAATTGACGCACAAAAAGCGTTTGACAAAATTCAACACTCTTTTATGATGAAAATCATTCAACATAACTAGGAATAGAAAAAAACAATCTTAACAAAATTATAGCCATACATGAGAAACACAGTCGTGATAGACTAAAAGCTTTTCATCTAAGATAAAGAAAAGGATGCCCACTTTCACCATTTCTCTTCAAGATAGGACTGGAAACCCTAGCCAGAGCAATTAGGTAAGAAAAAGAAATAAAAGGCATCCAAACTGGAAAAAAAGAAGTTCACAGATGATATGGTCTTATATGTAGAGAGTCCTAAAGATTCCACACAAAAGTGTTAAAATTAATAAATAAATTCAGCAGTCACAGGATACAAAGTCAACATACAAAAATAAGTTGCATTTCTATACATGAACAATGAATAATCTGAAAATTTTTTTCAAAAATTTCCATTTATAATAGCAACAACCAAAAAATAAAAATAAAAATGAGCCAAGGAGGTAAAAGACTTACACGATGAAAAACTAAAAACACTGCTGAAATTAAGGAAGACATAAATAAATGAAAACACTTATCATGTTTATGAATTGAAAGACCTAATATTGTTAAGATGTCAATAATACTCTGCAACCTACAGATCAAAATGCCAATAACATTTTTTGAAGAAACAAAAACCCATCCTGAAATTCATATGAGATCTTAAAGAACCAAAGAATAGCCAAAACAATCATGAAAAGAAGATCAAAGCTGGAGGACTCACACTTCCTGATTTCTAAGCTTACAACAAAGCTACAGAAATCAAGTGTGTAGTACGGGCATAAAGACATATATATAGACCAATGGAACAGAATAGAGAGATCAGAAGTAAACCCTCATATATATTGTGAAATGATTTTCAACAAGGTTGCCAAGACCATTCAATGGGGAAAGGACAGTCTTTTCAACAATGCTGCTGGGAAAACTGGACATCCACATGCAAAAAAATATTAAGTTGAACCCTTTCAAAATATCATACACAAAAATTAACTCAAAATGGATCTAAGACTTAAATGTCAGACCTATAACTACAAAACTGAGAAGAAAAGATAGGACAAAAGCTTTTACAACACTGAAACTGGCAATAATTTCTTCGATATTGACACCAAAGGCACAGGAAACAAAAGGATAGACAAATTGGACATTATTAATTTTAAAAAAATCAGTGCATCAAAAGACACTATCCCTAGAATAAACAGGCATCTCACATTATAGGAGAAAATATTTGCTCATCACACATCTGAAGAGATTAATATCCAAAATATATAGAGAATTCCTGGAACTCATCAAAAAACAACCTAATTTTAAAAATGAACAAAGGACTTGAACAGACATTTCTCCAAAGATGTGCAAGGGACCAATAAGCACATGAAAAGATACCCACTATTGTCCTGGCCGGTTAGCTCAGTTGGTTAAGAGCATCGTCCTGATACACCAAGGTTGTGGGTTTGATCCCCAGTCAGAACACATAAAAGAAGTAATCAATGAATGTAAAAATGAGTGGAACAACAAATCGATGTTTCCCTCTCTCTCTCCTCCTTCTCTTCCTCTCTCTCTCTCAAAGAAAGAAAGAGAGAACGAAAAAAGGAAAGATATCCACTGTCACTATTCATTAGGGAAATGCAAATTAAGTCTAGCTCCTAGAGAGTGCTTAAATGAAACATGTAGCAAATTTCAAAGCAAATCTTAACTGCTACAAGAATATGATGGATTCAGAAAACATGTCACAGTCTACAGTCTAAGTAGTGTGTGTGTCACCTCAGCAAAAATGCCAGAGAGAAGACTGTCCATAATTGGCTCCACACCTGCTGTGCTAATCTCTCCTGAAAGAGGCCCAAGTACCTTCATTGTCCCCAATGCTTTGCCATGGTCCTCAGCACTCAAGTGCATTTCGTTTTTCACCAGGAGTAGCTCAGACTCCAGCTGCCTTTGGCAGACCGTGAGTACCGACATCACACTGTCTTGTTTGTGGAGATTGTGGTTTACCCTCACCAGGGCTTTGGCAGGCTGCAGATCATCTTTCACTGGACTCTACAAGAGGAAAAAAATGACAATGCTGTAAAGATGATGCTAAATACACAAAATGTCAGAGTGCAGAGAGGCTAACTGCGGGGTGGCCTCAGGCTCTGGGAGCTCTGAAACATGAGACCAAAACCAAGCTTCAGTCCTACTGCCTGATCATAAACCACAATAGGTCAGATATGCTGGAGGCTGAGGGCTCCAAGGACATGGGTGCCAGCTGTGGCAGAATGGAGTCTGCTCAACACAGAACCCTGAACTGATGAAGGGTGGGGGGTGCGGCAGGCAAGGAATCCTGAGTTCTACTCAAATACAAACTGGAGCATGTTCCAAAAAAATAAATAAGTTGGAAACATTTACACTGGAAATGTTAATGAAAAATAAACCATTTGTTAGGAATCTAACACAAGGGTGAGCTCCGTATCACTGAATGTTCCCTATCAAAAAGAAGTGTTTTAAAAAGTGTAAGTAGACCAGCCAGTGTGGCTCAGTGGTTGAGCATCAACCCATGCACCAAGAGGTCCCAGCTTGATTCCCAGTCAGGGCACACGCCCACATTGTGGGCCAAATCCCCAATGAGGGGCATGCAGGAGGCAGCCAATCAATGTTCTCTCATCGATGTTTCTATCTCTCTCCCCCTCTCCCTTCCTCTCTAAAATCAATAAACAAAAAAAAAGAATTAAAAAGCTTAAGTAACTTACAGCAATAGTAAGTTTAAAACTGTACAAGACAGCCCAGCCAGCGTGGCTCAGTGGTTGAGCGTTGACCCATTAACTAAGAGGTCGCCGGTTCAATTCTGGGTCAGGGCACATGCCCAGGTTGTAGGCCCAATCCCCAGTGGGGGACATGCAAGAGGCGATCAATCGATATCTTCTCTCATCGATGTTTCTCTCTCTCTCTTCCTTCCTCTCTAAAATCAATAAAGAAAAAATATTTAAAACTGCACAAGACAGCAAGACCCAGCCTAATCTCACTGTGTACATGTGTTCTGACTTGAGGTTCTATGGATCCTAAATGGGCCAGGGCCCCAGGCCAGTGCAAGCTGCAGACTCACTTCCCCTCCTAGGCATGAGCTACCCATTGGAAACTGCATCCCCTATTGTTCAGCAAAGAGAGGCAAGTCGTTAATTAAAACAGAAACAAAGCAAGAGCATAAGAAAAATAATTGTTTCCTTAAGAGAACCCCCAAATCCCTCTGGTCCAGCCCCAGTGCTTGGTCACTAGCTGCCTGGGTCAGGGATTCCTGCAGGCACCAAATACAACGCAGCTCTCTGCACACAGATTGCACCTGTGGGACTTCAGAGAAACCAGGCCCACCTGTGCATCACTGCCTTGGCCACTGGGGGCCACAGTTAGTTGCCTGGTGCCCAAATTCTGTTCCAACTCCTCATCACACGAGGCCTCATCACTTCTGGTCACATGTTCCTGGAAACTGCCCCTCACATGATGGAGCATGGGGGCCCCACATGCCTGCTCCTTGTCCAGCTCCTTCTGGCACCTCAGAAACCGCTGGTTTAGTGCCTGTAGCTGGTGGCTGAGACGGACACACTGTACTCGGAGCCGCTGCAGCTCAGGGGGATCACATGTGGCACTCAGGGCCTGCTGTTCCAGGGTGCAGCGGAGGTGGGCAAAGGCCAACAGGATGGCCTCCAGTTCAGCGGAGTGGGCTGACTGCTTTCTGTTTATAGCCTCAATTTCCAAATCCCTTTGAGCAATCTGTGCATCCTTTACTTTAAGGGTGGCCTCAAACTCTTGAATCTGGGAGGCCAAGCCCTGGACCTCAGCCTCCTGGAGGGTCACGCTGGAACCCAGCTGTGCCAGCTGCCTCGAAGCAGCTTCCTCCGCAACCTGCAGGCGCTGCTGCAGGGCCTCCAGGGCCTGGCCGTGCTTGTGTTCCTGCTCAGCCAACAGCTGACTCAGGGCCTCCTTGGCCTCAAGTGCAGCCTGGAGCTCGGCCTGCAGCACAGCTTGTGCCTCGGCTCCCTTAGTCTGCAGGCAGCAGAGCTCCAGCTCGCTCTGGAGGTCTTCAGCTTGGCTGTCACCAAACTCACGCTCAGCAAGCCCCCCAAGGGACAGCTCCCGCTGAAGCTTCTCGATGACCTCATGCAGTTGCTCGATTTCCTCTGCTTTGTCCTTCTGCAGCCGCTCCTGGTTCTCCTGCAAGGTCTCAATAATGGATTTCAGCTCCTCGACTTCAGCACTTCTACTATACATAACCTGGGAAAAGCACGTGTTTTAGAAGCAAACCAAATCAACTTCAGGACCCCCTCCCAACTTACAGCTCTGAATTCGCTGTGAGTAGAGGCTTGAAATACAAAACAACTATAAGAACAAACAATGTCACCAAATGAGAGTTAATATTTGAAAAACAAATGCCGCACCCCAACTCTTTAAGTATCTCAAAAGGAAAGTTCTGTTGCTGCCGAACAGTTCATTCAGACATTCCAATTGAGGCTGCTGGGCACTGCCACAGATCCCAGCCCCCTTCTGTCAGAATTCAGCGGAAACTCTGACTTGACTACTTCTCAGTCAACAACACCTTCATACTAATACTTCACCACCTTTTAAATATATATTTAGTTAATATTTTTAGAACTCTGATTTGTTTGATTTCCCTAAAGGGAGAATTTAGATTTTAAGTGTCATTCTAACAGAATAAGAAGACAAGTGATAAAATCGGTCTAGTAAATTTACGCAATGAAGAATGTGAATGAGCCAGGCACACCACATGCTCCCATGCTGTATGTACATGTGGGGACATGGGGACTTCAGCTGTTGCCCAGACTGCTTATACTGAGCACCATGCCACACCAGGCACCAAACAATGTTTTGCTACTTCATCTAATAGTAACTGCTTATGCTATTTAATCTAATCGACAGTTTTAAGTTACGTAATGTTACTATTCCTACTTTAAGACAGGACAATTGAAACTTAGATTATTAAACAACCTGCCAAGACCACATAGTAAATAGAAAATCAAAATTGAAATCTATGTCAATATGGCTCCAAACTCCATTCCATTAAGGTCACATCACCGGTAGTGACCAAAAAATAAAAAATTCTAACCAACTGTGTTCTAGTTAACAATCAACCAATTTGTTATAGTCTAATTTTTTGCTTCCTAAAAACTGACTTTATAACAATTCTTGATTTCACTGGTACGACTTAACGATTACTATAAACTCATATTCAAATGTGGCTTGTAGTTAAAACAAAATAAAATTTTGATAAACTTTTTTTTTATCCTCACCCGAGGACATTTTTCCATTTTTTGTTCAGATCGAGTGGGATGGGGGGAGAGAGAGAGAGAGAAACATCGACGTGAAAGGGACACATGGAGTGGTTGCCATCCACACGACCCAACCAGGGCCCGGGACAAACTGCAACCTAGGTACGCGCCCTTAGCGGGACCGGAACCCAGGTCTCTCTGGACCACAGGCCAACGCTCCAACTGCTGAACCAAACCAGCCAGGGCTTGATTAACTTTCTGTTTGGAGATCATCGGCTATCCATTACACACACATTTACCACATCTAAATGTTGTATTATATATTTAGCAAAAGAAAACTTCTCAGTGCAAGGCGAGACGCTCATACCAACTCCAGTTTGCCCCCCTCCCCTACCTGGGTGCTGAGTGTTGCCCAGACTGTGTCTCCCTACTCATAGACAGCTAAAGGGGTTCAGGGGTAATACTGACTGTACACAGTTTGTGCTTATTCACTTACTGCGCTAAATGCACTGAGACTGGAAGGATGCACTACAGAATAGCCATAATCACAACAAAGTGTTACACTTAAAATATTAAACCCAGCACATGAAGGGGGCTAGACTCTAAAGTAAGTCCTCTGACATACAGCATAACTGGCACAGGCAAAGCAGCAAAGGCAACAACAGGTCATGTACCAAAGAAGAAAGGGCACAGCTGCAGGCGGGGAACAAAGTAAAATAAAGGGTGTTGCTTGAGCCAAGAGTACAAATGTTGTGGTCCCCCTGAAACTGCGGCAGCTGCTTATATTGGGCAGAGCGGTCCCATTGACATGGAACAGTGCAGAGGTGACGAGGCCTGAGTGTAGCTATAACAGGCTCACTTGACCCAGAAGTGGTGTCTCAGATGGGCATTTCTCCCTTAAGGATCTCGGTTCTGGGTGGAGTCTGAAAGTCAGCACCAGCAGGTGCATAACGTGGGGCTGAAACCACAACCAACAGCCAGGAAGGTACTGTGGAGGAGCTCCTCGGAACTGACTTTGTAAAACCTGACAGGCTACACCCCACCTGCCTGCAGGCCCAGGACTTCATGCAGAAGCCAGAAGATGGGGGAGTTCCCTCTATCAGGCTATGCCCCTAGACAGCATAGCCAGAGGAGGCCCAGAGGATGAACAGATGCACCCCTATGTTAACTGGAGCATTATTTACAATAGCCAAGACATGGAAGCAAAATATGAAAGAACTAGAGTGTTTGCTTTTTGGTGTTAAGCAGTATGAATGAGTTCCTTATCTATTTTGGATATTAACCCCTTACTGAACGTATGATTTGTCCATCAATAGATGATTGGATAAAGAAGATGTATATTACTCAGCAATAAAAAGGAATAAAATTTTGCCACTTGTGACAACATGAATGGACCTAGAAGTTATAATGCTGAGTGAAATAAGTCAAACAGAAAAAGACAAATACCATATTCACTTATATGTGGGATTTAAGAAAACAAAATAAACAAATAAACAAATTCATATACAGAGAACTGATGGTCACCAGATGAGAGGGGGGTTGGGGTCTGAATAAAAAAAGTAAAGAGATTAAGAAGTACAAGTTTAGCCCTGGCTGGTGTTGCTCAGTGGTCAGAGTGCTGACCTGCACACCAAAGGGTCACAGATTTGATTCCCAGTCAAGGGCATGTACCTGGGCTGCAAGTTCAATCCCTGGTCCAGATTGGGGTGCGTGTAGGAGGCAACCAGTGTGTCTCTCACATTGATGTTTCTGTCTCTCTCCCCCTCTTCCCCTTCTTCTCTTCCACTCTCTCTAAAAATCAATAGAAAAAATATCCTCAGGTGAGGATTTTACCCCCCCCCCCCAAAATACATGTTTACAGAATAGTCCCGGAAATATAAAGTACAGCATAAGAAATATATTCAATAATATTGTAATAACTATGTATGGTGCTACATGAGTAGTATACTTATCAGGGGGATCACTCCAAAAAGTATCACTATGCTGTACACCTGAAACTAATGTGATACAAGTATGTCAACTACAATTGAAAAATCAAACTTTTAAAATTAGTTGCTGGTTTTAAAGACACTCCTCAAAGTAATACAAAATAATACTCTTAAATTTTGCCAAATATACAAGATACCAACACAGATCATTAATATCCCAATAGCCGCTGTCACTGTGAAATCTGGAGACTCAAAAAACTGTAGACAAAACTCCTTTATTACCCTAACAGATACCACTGTCCTTATACTCGCCATCAAAATTAATGGAAAAAGTCATTCAAAAATTTATGTAGTTTCATCACATGGGTCTCTGTTGATCTTAGGTCACAAACTACCAAGAACATAATGCCTAAGATACCTTCACAAACAAAAGGATCACCTACCTCATTGAGAGCGCCACTTCCCATCCCAGCCAGCTGTGCCTCGAGCTGCTCACTCATGCACAGTATCTCCTTTTCTTTGTTTTGCAGAAATGCCTGTTGAAATGATAGTGATAATAAAAATAATGAAGCCAAGAAAGCATTACTATGGAACAGTACCCAGGCCTTGCAGTCGTAAACTATCCTAATAAGCAAGCCTGTAGTTTCAAATATTAACACTCAATTTGAAAATGTTTTTCTATTTAAGTGCTTTCTGTTTAAAGTGACATATTAGTTTGGTTTTCTAAAATCAGTTATGCATTTCTCCAGGAAATTTGTTTAAAGCAACCACTAAAGAATATGTAAAGCCTGTTCTTATATGTTTCTCATCTAGAAATTAAGGATGAATCCCACTGAGATGAGCAGTGATTCTAGGATTGGCCTACAATTCCATTTTCACTGAAGATGTTGTAAATAATGCAGTTGCAGCCTTTGGGAGGATTATGCACAAATGACCCGGCCTCAGAATGTATTTCAATGCTATCAGTTCACTAATCAAACAACAGACAGGGTGACATCATATGCCATGATTCTAAACTCAATGTATTTCAAGACCATCTTTTAAGGTTATGTTTTCCTTATAACTTTGATTATTGTGTCCACTATACAGGGTTATTTTTCTTTTTGCTTGAAAAGTACAATTGCATTAAGATAACAGAGAGGATTTTTTTTTTTTTTTTAAAGAAAGATGGGAGGAAGGGAAGAAGAGAAGGAAGAGGGAGAGAAGGAAGAGGGAGAGAAGGAAGGAGGGAGGGAGGGAGGGAAGGAAGGAAGGCAGGAAGGAAGGAAGGAAGGAAGGCTCAAAGTAAAGTGGTAATAGTCTTTTTTTTAATCCTCACTAAAGGGTATTTCTCTACCTTCGGATACAGTGGGGGGGGGGGGGGGCATCAACTGGTTGCCTCCCACATGACCCCAACCCGGGGCTGGAAAGAACTACAACCGGGGTAGGTGCCCTTGACCAGAATCAAACCTGCGACTCTCGTCCATGGGCCGACGCTCTAATCACTTAGCCAAACCAGCCAGGGCAATATTAGACAGGATTTAAAAGCAGACTTTTTTCAATCCTGAGCTGGGAAGAATGTGACCATTTACTAAACACTGCCGTCCCTAAAGGGGGCACCCTGGTAGTGGCCAGAACCAGGCCATCGTTCCCAAGTTGATTTGTTTCTTCAGCAGCTGGGGAAGTGAGTGCCTCTCCTGTAATCTTACTCCAACAAACAGCCTTCAAAAGATTTGACTATGATCCACGCTACAAAACAAAACCAAGAGTCTGGTGTAGAAGTGAAAGCAGGTGAACTTCACCAATCAAGGTGACTCTGGTTTTCCACTCATGGTTCTCTGAAGCTGCCTCCACTACATTTTCCTGAGCTGCTCCAGGTGCCAACCTCAATGCAGACACAAGTCAGGCACTTTCTAAAAATCTCCTGCCAGCATAGCGCCCTCTGTCTTCAGAAGGAAGTCTCACGTGTCTTGGGAAGGCCTGAGGCACCCACTTCCTATAAATGATGGTTCCCACATTGAACTACACCACTTACATAATTGGCATACACTTAGATGTCAAGGTGGGTCTGTTCACGTTACCTTCAAATTGGCATTCTCTTCTTGTAGTCCACTGACACTGATAGCAGTGTGGTTGCTCTGCAGGTCTAATTTTAAGTTCAGATGTAGTATTTCTTCATTTTTACTAACTAAGTCATCTTTAATCTTTTCTAATTGTTCTTTTAAGTCCAAAACCTTTCAGTGAAACAAATAAAGGTAAATATTAAAAATGACCTAATATTCTAATTTATTTAATAATTATTAAAATCATGCTAAAGGATTTAAAAGTACATGCCAATAAAAAGTTATTACTACTTTATAACCCCCTTAAAAGTGCTAAAATTACAAAGAACATGTAGTAGTTATAAACCCATGGATGTATTGTTTGGATGTCCTGCCCTTTACACAGCAGTCCAATGGACTGAAGAGAGGAAACCATCCGTCCATTCTCTCCCCATCCCCTTACCTCGCTCTCCCGCTGCAGAAGTGCCCTCTGCACTGCCTCTAACTGGAGTTCTGGGCCCTCAGAATGGCTGTCTGCAGGAGGCACAGAGCATTTGCCTTCATCTAGTTTAGACTGCAATGTGGACACCAGCAGCAAGTTACTCATCTGCTGTTGCTGTAATGCCTCCTTATCCTATTTTTAAAAAAAGACTTGTTTTAGGCAAGTATTTCAAGAATCAGAGGCCTTAAAGTGCTGTCTGTTAAAGGGCAAACCATCCCTAGCTCTTCCCACACATACCTCCATGTACCACACCTGATCCCCAGACCCAGCCATACTCCAGAGCAGAAATATGCTTGGTGAAGGATGCAACCCCAAACAGAGAGCCACTGGTGGCCCATGATTCCACTGGGAGGAATTGATACCTAGTAATTATTCAACAAGGTAAAAAACAGTCTTGCCCTGACCGGTTTGATTCAATGGTTTAGAGCATCGGCCCCTGGACCAAAGGGTCACAGGTTCAATTCTGGTCAAGGGCGCGTACCTGGGTTGCAGGTTTCCCTGTTCCTGACCAGGATTGTGCAGGAGGCAACCAATCAATGTGTCTCTCAACATCAATGTCTCTCTCTCTCTCTCTCTCTCTCTCTCTCTCTCTCTCTCCCCCCCCCTCCCTTCCACTCCCTCTAAAAAATAATCAATGGGGAAAAAAATTTCTTTTAAGTAGTCTCTAGACTGTTAGCAATTTTTTCTTTAATCCTCACCTGAGGACATTTTTGCATTTATCTTCAACAGAACGGGAGGGAGTGAGGGAGGGAAAAGAGAGAGAAACATCGATGCGAGAGAGACACATCAAGTGGTTGCCACCCACACGACCCCAACCGGGGTGGGGACAAACCACAACCAAGGTATGCGCCTCTAGCAGGAACCAAACCCGGGACTCTCTGGTCCGCAGGCTGACGCTCTAATGGCTGAGCCAAACTAGGCAGGGCTAGACTGTTAGCAATTTTTAAAAATTGGAAAAAAATTGCCAAAGAACAGGACAATGGATGACAATACATGTGTACAAAGAACATTAAGAGCCCAGTAAAAAGTTTTCAAAGAAAATTTAATGTGGATAAAATGGTCACAACATACTGGTCCAAATTTGTGAAGAAAAAAAGGTATTTTATATACCCCTCGCATCTAGTAAGTTCAGTAAATGTTTGCGTAGGGAGGCAGGGGAGCCAGCCCCAAGGAGCTGTCCCCAAGCCAGGTGAGTGAAAGAAAGTGAGAGGAGGTGAAACCCAGCCAGGCTGGTGTCCTTAGGTAAGAGCCAAGCTTGACTCCTTCAGTAGTTCTCATAGGCAATTTTTTTTTTTTTTAATCCTCACCCGAGGACATTCTCCCATTTTTTGTTCAGATAGAGTGGGACAGAGAGAGAGAAGCATCGACGTGAAAGGGACACATCGAGTGGTTGCCACCTGCACGACCCAACCAGGGCCGGGGACAAACTGCAACCGAGGTACGTGCCCTTAGCGGGAACCGAACCTGGGTCTCTCTGGACTGCAGGCCAACACTCTAACCGCTGAGCCAAACTAGCCAGGTCCTCATAAGCATTTTTAAGAACCAAACTCATCTGATAAAAACTCTCACTTCCTTGAGGCAGGATTTGTCTTAAGGTCAAATCAATGATTCTAAAATAAAATTTCTCATGGAGCATCACTTTTCACGTAACCTTTTAACCTCCAGCATCATTAAATAAACGAAATGTCAGAAATTTAGTTGCTTTTGAGGAAATGCTAAATAATCAAAAATGCCTCAGACACCCTGCTCCCCACCCCAGCATACAACATACAGCCCTCCAGCCTCATCCTAGTGTTCAAATACAAACAAAAGCATCCTAATGACAACATAAAAACTGTCACTGGAGGCATTTTCAATGGGGGAGTTGACATAAATTACTAAACTCAAAAATGAAAATAATTATAACTAGCTCTAAGTAAAGCAACTTTTTGAAATCTAAAATCTTGAACATTTACTTTATGAAAATAATTATGCTAAGGGAAATAAGCCAGTCAGAAAAAGACAAGTATCACATGATCTCACTTACTTGTGGAACATAATGAACAAAATAAGCTGTTGACCAAAAGAGATCCAAATCATGGAAGTAGGGACTGACCAACAAACCTCGGAAGTATGGAGGGTGGGAGCAGGGGAAGGGATAAACCAACAAACTTATATGCATACATGCATCACCAATCAACACAGACACTAGGCTGGGGAAAGCAGAAGGAGGGTGGGAGAGGGACAGAGGAGGTCAATGGGGAAAAAGGAGAGACATTTGTAATACTTTCAACAATAAAATAAATAAATAAAATCTAAAACCTTGAACATTTATTTTATTAAATACTAAAGAGTAGTATAAAAATTCTTATAAAATGCTATTACGGTAAATGTGATACTGTGATTTATAATAAAATATATATTGAGCTTCATCCAATTCCTAGCACAGAAATCCTAAAAGCCTTGGAACTATTCCTGAGTGGTAAGAATGACAACAAAGGTGTTTGATATTCCTAACAAGCCCCTTCCAGCCACACCTGCATTTATGTTACTGAGGTGACTTTTGGAAAGCCCCTAGGTCACCTGAGAATCGGGCTGGTCACCAGGGTAACCAACCATGTGATTAGAAGGTTGGAACTTTAAGTCCATCCCTGACCTCCAGGGAGGGGAGAGGGGTGGAGGTTGAACCGATCACCAACAACCAATGATTTAATCAATCACGCGTAGGTGATGGGACCTCCAATAAAAACCTAAAAGACAGGTTCAGAAAGCGACCAGGTTATTGAACACATGAAGATAAAGAGACAGTGGGCATCTGTGCCCCTTCCCCTAGACCTCACCCAGTGTGTCTCTTCCATCATCTGTTCCTGAATTATATCCTGTATAACAAACAGGGGACCTACTAAGTAACATGTTTCTCTGAGTTCTGTGAGTGGCTCTAGCAAACTAACAGAACCCAAGGAGGGGTTGTGGGGACCTCTGATCTAAGCAACCCGGACTTTCAATGGGCATCTGATGTGATAAGGGGTGGGAGCTGAGCACTTAGCCTATGGGATCTGACGCTAACTCTAGGTGGATGGTGTCAGAATTAAGTTCTAGGACACCCTACTGAAATATGATGAGAAATGAACACCTATTTGGTTTGTGGGAAACCCCTGCAAGTTTGGTGACCAGAAGTATGATCCATGAAGTGATGTAACAGAGCACTGATTGTGCAGGAGACACACGAAGCATTTTTCCTTTAGAGCAAATAAAAGCCAAGAGATCAGAAGGAACTCCACCAGCAGGTGGTCTGAGGTCCTTGCTAACACACAATCTTTCTGATAAAAGGGAGGGCTCACCTTGTCTGCCCACCCCAAGCAGCTCAGTGTACTCAGAGACCCCAAAAGAACCCCACACAACAAAGGGTGTTTACCTGTTGTAGCTCTTTCATAGCTTTCCTCTGCTTCTCCAGTTCTTCTTGGAGCTGGATCACTTTCCTCCTGGTATCAGCATTTGTCTCCTCCAGATGTTTAATTTCTTCTTCCTGGATCAACACTTGTCTATCTGCTAATTCTTTCTTCATCACCAATTCATTAAGTTCATCTGATTTTTCTCTCAATTTTTCCTGTAACAATTCAACCTAAAATAACAAAGAAGGCTTGAGAAATACAACAGTTAAAAAAAAGTACAGAAAGCAATTCAGAGAAAACTGATCTTTTATGTGGCTTTGTAGACCAAGGTTGTACAACAAAGCCTGGAGAATAATATGATGAAACTAATAAAAAGGGTATACTCTCAATAAAAAAACAAACAAACAAAAAAAAAATGTGTTGCCCTGGCCGGTTTGGATCAGCGGTTAGAGCGTCAGCCTGTGGTCCAGAGAGACCCGGGTTCAATTCCCGCTAAGGGCACGTACCTCGGTTGCAGTTTGTCCCTGGCCCTGGTTGGTCGTGCGGGTGGCAGCCACTCTATGTGTCCCTTTCACGTCGATGTTTCTCTCTCTCTCTCTTCCTCTCTCTCCCTCCCACTCTATCTATACAAAAAATGAAAAAATGTCCTCAGGTGAGGATAAAAAAAATTTTTTTAATAAATAAATAATGTGTTAATAAAATTAATTTTGATAGTGAGGAATAGACTGCTATTCAGCAATGAAAAAAGAATGAAGCACAGATACAGCAACAACTTGGATGAATCTCCAGAGAATCTCTAGGTGGAGTGAAAAGCAATCCCCAAAGGCTGCCCACTCTGGTCCATTTGTATAATCATGCAGAAATAACAAACTATTATGGGGATCGGGCTGAGTGCCCCATGGGGCTCTGTCTGCACATCAATTTCCCAGCTGTGACCTTGGGCTGGCTTCTGAAGGATGTCATCACTGGGGAAACTGGGAGAAGGGTACACAGGATCTCTGTTTTATTTCTCACACAACTGCGATCAAAACCACAGTTATTTCAAAATAAGTTTAATTTTTTAAAAAAATAAGCAAATCAACTAGAGGTACCTCAAACAAGAGGAAGCAAACAGATCCAGACCAAGCAGAAGGATGCAAGAAAAAGCAAGACACAGGACAAGGTGTGCCACCACCCATTTGCTCACAAGCACCAGCCATGCAAGTAGACAGGACAAGAACAGAGGACACATACCTCCTCATCCAACTGTGCCTGCTATAATTTCCGCATACATGGAAGGAAAAAATATTTTTAAAGATAAAGTTTAAAAACACTGTAAAGAACCACTACTCCATGAGTGACACATGGCAGGCTGACTTACATCACTGTTTCGTGGGCCACGGGGCTGCAGCTGGGCTGCCCGCCGGAGCTGCTCCTCCAGCCTCTGGATCTCCTGCTGGAACTCCTCCCGCTCATGCTCCCTCTCGACAGCCTGCTCCTGTCATGAGAGGCAGACTGTGTGGGTCGCTTACTGTGATGTCACTTCCCAGTTGCACCTACTTCCCTCTGAAGGGACCACTGAAAAGTATGAAATGGAAAGGGAATGCTCCTGGTCTGACACTACAGCCAGGGCTTCCATTTCACATGCATGGCCACTATGGGCCCTTGCATGGACACTGTGTGAAGCAGAGATAAATGAGGAGGGCCTTCCCAAGGGATTAGGGGGAGGCTTCTGGAATGCTGAAAGGAAGAAAAGACAGAAAGGACAAATACTGTGGGTCCAAAGTGGTGCCGGGCACAAAGGGCCTTTAACTCAACTACAGAAGACAACTGCCCAGACTACAAAAAGCATGGCCACAAGACCACAGATGTGTTCCTTCAGAATCGCATATGATAAACATATGATAAACATTGACAATGTCTGAACTGTCCACCAAGAGATGCGGACACATGAAGGTCTACTATACATTAAACTCCTCGTTGGGTCATAGAAGCTTATTTAATGACCTGGGAGAGGCCCAGGCCACAAAGATGACTTCCAGGGAGGCAAACAGAACTTATACACAGTGCTTACATCCATAAACTGCCGCTGACTACGCAAGTGTTTATCCAGAGATACCATCTGCTGCCGCAGGGCGCCGAGTTCCTCGGCCTGTGAAGCATACGCTCGATGGCTCGAAAGCTGCTCTTCCAGCTCAGCCTCCAGGAGCTTCACCTGGGCAAGCAGAGCCACACGGTCTTTCTCACATTGCTGCCTGGTCTCCAACCGCTCTGTGATAGCAGCTTCCACTTCCCTCCGAAGAGCTGCAGATACAAAGAGTACAGAAGAGGAGTCCCACAGCACAGGGCATGGTCCTTGTGCTGCACCAGAAACGCCAAACATGCACTTACTAACAGTGACACCCACATAGCACAAGCCCCACACGACAGCATGGCCAGCCTCCATAGCAGCTCGGAACCTAGTCCTGGCTAGGGACTGCAGCACAGGGTCCTCAAGGCCCAGATACCCCCCCCCAGACTCAGCATGACCTACCCTTCATTACCCCTCCTCCTGCAGGACCAGGACACAACCCAGGCTGCACACCACCTCAAGATGAGGGAACGTACAGCCCACAAACCAGTGTGGGCCTGGTTCTGTCGGATGCTGAGCCCATGTCCTAACATAGCCTCAATATAGCCAAATACCCACTGAAAATAAACTCAAGCACTTTTGCAAAAATAAATAAAATTTTAATATTGCAACTTTTACATGAAAATTGCCTAAAATAAAAAAATTTCAAGCCTGCCCTGGCCAGTTTGGACCAGCAGTTAGAACGTCTGCCTTTGGGTTCAATTCCTGGTCAAGGGCATGTACCTAGGTTGCAGGTTTGACACCCCCGACCCTGGTCAGGGCACGTATGGGAGGAAACCAATCAATGTGACTCTCTCACATTGGTGTTTCTCTCTCTCTCTTCCTCCCTCCCTCCCTCCCTTCCACTATATCTAAAAATCAATGGAAAAATATCCTCAGGTGAGGAATAACAAAAACTAAATAAAAAATAAACTCACATATTAAAAAAAAAAAATTTTTTTTTCAAGCCTGAGAAAAATCTGTCTTGGTGTTCCCAAATGACAATATCAGGTAACTTTCTAGGCATTATACCTTCACATATAATCCCCAATAGGGAAAAATAAAATGCATCTAAAAGGAGGCTTCCCTCTGTGGAACCCTAAGTGTTCAAACTACCCAAAAATGAAATATTAAATATTACTTACATTTCACCAGCTTTCAAAGCTTCATTATTTTGGTTTATAAAAATCTGCCAATCTTTTATGACAAACTACCATCACCAATAACAACATTCTCAATAAAAGTTCATGCTATTAAGTCAGCAATTACAGTAAATTAGCCTTAAACATGCTGTTAGGTCAGTGTCATTCAGAGCCCCTGGAGACACAAAATGAGGCTCAAATGTCACTGCTGACAGTCAGTGATGCCTGATCACCCACTTGGGCACCACCACCTTCAGGGCTATGAGCTGCAGAAGAGACACTGGGCCTACATGCAAGTGGGACCGAGAGGAAAGTGTTTGAGTGGCTGCCAAGGCCACACTGAGGGCCGACTACGGAGTCCGAGAGCAGAGGAGCTCCACTGCCCCCCCCAGCCTAGGTCCGCATGGCCCCCAGCCCTGCACAAAATCACACACTACAGCCCAATAACTGCTATAGGCATCACAAGAGGAAGGCATGCCCATTTATATATATGAATATTGAAAATGAAATTATCGCTTTATTTAATAGTTTGCCGCAAAAGCTCTGGAGTACTTTTCCTCTTCAGTAAAACATTTAAAAAGTCTGGTGCAAACACAGCGTATGGCACAGAAATCACTCGTTTGTTTTCACAAACCTGAGTCCTTGTGCGCTATAGTAACAGGAACACCTACAAATGAACATGTAACACTTTCAGAGGTGAAACAGGAGAATGTGTGACCTAGAATGTGACAGTTAGAAACAAGAGAGGGCAGTGACAGCAGCAAGGAATGTCTTTGGCCCTGGACAACCTCTAAAACTTGTACATTTCCAAACCCACACTGCTTAGGGGTTTAAATGTCTGTCTCCAAAAATCCTATGTTGAACCCTGACCTGCAATGTGATGGTACCAGGAGGCAGGGTCTTTGGGAGGTGGTGCCTCACGCTGGGCCTCTGAAAGAGACCCTGAAAGCACCCTGCCCTTCCACATGTGAGGACAAAGTGGGAAGACGCTGTCTGGACCCAGGAAGAGGCCCCTCACCAGAAGGCAACCATGCCAGCACCCTGACCTTGGACTTGAAGCTTCCAGGACTGTGACAATAAATGTCTGTTGTTCGTGAGCCGCACCAGTCTGTACTTTGTCACAGCAGCCAAATGGACTGAAACATGACTGTTTGCCCAGGTGTCACAGCAAGTTTTGGCTCCCAAAGGCTTTTATTTATTTTTATTTTTTTAATCCTCACCTGAGGATATTTTTCCATTGATTTTTCTAGATAGAGTGGAAGGAAAGGAGAGAGAGGAAAACAACACTGACGTGAGAGAGACACACTGATCGGCTGCTTTCTGCATGATTCTGACCGAGCCGAGGTTCAAACATGCAACCCAGGCATGTGCCCTTAACTAGGAATCAAACCCACAACCCTTTGGTCCACAGGCCAATGCTCTAACCACTAAGCCAAACTGGCCAGGGCTATTAAAGGAGGAATCAAAGAAAAACACAAAGAACAGCTGGCATCACCCTGAAACACACCACACACCACCCAAACAGACAAGGCAGAGCTGAATTTCCTCATAGGATGCTGGGCCCTTCCAAAATTCTTGGAAAACTGACAAATGTTCATGAGTCCCCAAAGCAGAACTAGGACCAAGAGCCCCCAGACCGCTCCTGGGGAACCAGTGGTGAGGGTAGGGCAGGTGTTGTGCTGGCAGGGAGCACATCAAACAACTCACACTGAGTGACCAGCACTTTCAGTTTGACGGCACATGCCGAGCCCCTAGCTGGGATCGCGCAATTGTGTGGCAGGGTGAGGGGAAGAGACAGATCAAGTGAGAAATTAAGGAAGGGTTAACAATGTGAAAATAAAAGCAAACCCAGAGGACCCCAAAGAAAGTACAAGAATTTTCTAGTGACAAAACAAAGCAAAGGAGAGACTGGTCTGGGTTCAGGAGAGGGTTCCATGATCTGTCCCTCCCTGGCCTAGCTCCCTCTTCTGCAGAGACAGTGTAGCACACAGATGGGCCAAGCCTCTCTGCAAGGTGGGTCACCGCCTTGAGAAAGCCAGGGATGAGCCCAGCCAGGTGTGAACAGAGACAATGCCACAGAAAGGCTGGTCTAGGGGCTGCTGGGTCCAGGCCCAAATGAGGCAGAGCCACTCAGGTCTTAGCCAGCTAAGACAAGATAACTCCACAGGCCAGGGCTGTGTGGCCACTCAGATGGTCCCACACCTCTGTGTATCCCACAAAGTCCTAACTCTTAGGTCTCAATCTGAAGGATGAGGAGAATGAGATAGAAGTATCAGTGCTCATGGTGTAAGCATGAGTCTGAATGGACAGATGTAGGACCAATTGTCTCTTGGAGGAGGCCGGGCCATTACACTGACCTAAAGGATGGGATGTAACAGGTCCCTGCAAAAAAAACAAAAAACAAAAACTGTCCCACCTCAAAGTGCAGCCTATGAGAGATTCCAGAGGGACAAAAAAGGGTGAGAACAGAAGAAAAAAATGTCTGAAGAAACAATGAGTGACAAACTCCCAGATTTAACAAAAAATATCAGACCTTAGGCTTAGACAGAACAGGAAAGATATGAAAAAACCCACTCTAGTGACATGTAACATCAGAGCAAAGAGACATTTCTAAAAAAAAAAACCTGTAAATGAACAAGATAAAGACATCTCAGCATAAATACTGAATGTAAGGAAAGGTAGGGTTATAACCTCATATTTTAAAGAAAAATTAACTAGAACTGTATCTTTTTAGCTACAACTTCATTAAAGGTTGAGGGTAAAATAAGGTAAATCTCAGGTATTCAAGGTCTTAAGAGTTTTCCTTCTTTGAAACTGTTGAGTTGAGAAGAAAACAACCCACAACTTACTGCGCTTAGACAGCAATTTGCACGTGCCATAGGACATACAGAACTCATGTGCTCTCATGTGCACACACACATATGCAAACAGAACAAATGTGGGAAGAGCCTTGCCTGACAGTGGCATGGCTGGGCTGGTGCGAAGATGGCTGAGAGGACAAGACAGGTTTCAGTGTTGGGGAACACTGGATGCACAGCATTAGTCAGCAGAGGGCAGTATGTGTGTGTGTGTGCGTGTGTGTGTGTGTGTGTGTGTGTGTGTGTGTGGTGTCAGAGCACCTACAGGAAGTGTGGAAAACAGAAAATGAGGGAAAAGACCCAAATAGCCATTGGCACAGCAATAAAACCTGCTAAACAGAGCAAAAGAGAAGCCCACAGGTGAACTTTTTACAAAGCCATTAATGTAACATCCATAAATAAGACAAATCAAAAGTATAAGGAAAAACTGAAAATAAAGGGATAAAAACTGATACACAAGAAACAGAGAAAAGCTAGATTCATTTTTTTCTTTCTTTTTTTAAAAAATGTCAATTATATCCATTTGGTCTAGTGTGTCATTTAAGGCTAATATTTCTTTATTGATTTTCTGTTTAGATAATCTATCTAAAGCTGTCAATGGAGTATTAAGATCCGCAACCATGATTATGTTTTGTTTGATCTGTTTCTCCCTTTAGTTCTGTATTTGCTTTATATATGTCAGTACTCCCTTAGATTAATTTTTAATGCCAAAATTTACATCAAAAAATGAAAAAGGGCCCTGGCTGGTTTTCTCAGTGGTTAGAGCATCGGTCCAAGGACCAATGAGTCACAAGTTCAATTCTGGTCAAGGGCACACACCTCAGTTGCGGTTCACCCCCCCGGCCCTGGTCACGGTCGTGCAGGAGACAACCAATTGATGTGTCTCTCTCACACCGATGTTCCCCTCCCCACCCCATCCCCAACCAAGATAAGAGGAAGAATGTCCTCGGGTGAGGATTAAAAAATAAATAAATGAAAAGGGGACAAAAACACGTGTTACACACACACACACACACACACACACACACACGAAAGCTGAGCAAGATGAGGTCTGGAAATGATTACAAATACAGTTTAAAGTACTGCTCATGAATGGAAACTATGAACAGCCTACAAATCATTATTTGCTTAAAGAAATGGCAGGCCTGTTGGATCTGAATGTCCACCAAGAGCCACAGGTCAGCATGAACTAAGCACCCACCGACAGGGTTCACAGAACCAAGATGGCATCAAATAGCCGAAATGAGGGCACAGTCGGTTACACAGAAGACAAGGAAAATGGAAGTTGTAAGCAAAATCAAAAGCTGGTTATTTGTTAAGAAAAATTTGTTTAAAGGAAACCATTTGGGAGAAAAAAACTGAGTTTCTGAATGGGTGACAGTGGCCCACAAATGACCGAGGCTCACAGCACAGGCATGGAGCTGCAACCATGATGAAGGTAGAGACCTCGGGGCCACTGAGAGGCAGGGAGCTCCACCCACCATGACTCAGCCAGCAGCCACACAACCTCATCAAAGAGCAGGCAGGCACAGGAACAGACATGGGCCTGAAGTCAGTGGGGGGCAGAGGGAGAGACAGCTCTGGAAAAGCTGAGCTCACACAGGATTGTTACAAATCTGCTACTGAGGACTCTGCTACCTACAAACTCAACATTTTAAAATCTGAAATATCGCCCTGGCCGGTTTGGCTCAGCGGTTGGAGCGTTGGCCTGTGGTACAGAGAGACCTGGGTTCGGTTCCCGCTAAGGGCACATACCTCGGTTGCAGTTTATCCCCGGCCCTGGTTGGTCGTGCGGGTGGCAACCACTCTATGTGCCCCTTTCACGTCGATGTTTCTCTCTCTCTCTCTTCCTCTCTCTCCCTCCCACTCTATCTGAACGAAAAAATGGAAAAATGGCCTCGGGTGAGGATAAATAAAAAATAAATAAATAAAATCTGAAATATCTTTCATTAAAGCTGTTTTCCTAGTTAAGGTTAACATTAGGAACTTTATTTTAAAGAAAAAAAAATTTTTTCCCTTTATTGATTTTTAGAGAGAGGGAGAGAGAGATAGACATCGATGAAAGAGAACATCGACTAGCCACCTCCTACAAGCCCCCTACTGAGGGTAGGGCCCACAACCTGGGCATGTCTTGACCAGGAATCGAACAAGCGACGTCTTGGTGCATGGGTCAATGCTCAGCCACTGAGCCACACCCACCAGACTTAAATACAATTTTTAAGTTGCCTTCATTTTTTCATGATCGTGGCTGTTTATCTCAAACAAGTTGGCGACATTTTCAGTGACCTGGTTTGCCAGAAGCTACTCTGACCTCACAGAGACTTGAGAACCAGAATGATATATACACCACACCCCTCTCAAGGCCACACACTCCAAGGTTCCCTCTGAAAAAGGTTCCCTCTGAAAAGTGTTCCCATCTTTTCTCTCTACCCTCTAAAAATGTCAAGCTTCCCTTCCAGAAGAGCCAACTGGGCTGCTGCCTGTGCTCTGCCCTCTGTCCCTGGAGCCAGCCTTTCTTACCAGCCTCTCTCTCTTCTGCTTCTGTGGCTGCCACCTCTTTTTGGCGCCACAGGACTGAGTTCTCCTCCTTCAGCTCTGTCTGCTGCCGAGTCACCTGCTGAAGCTGCTGATTCAGGCTCTCCAGCTCGGCCACAAGGCTCTGCTCAGACATCTCCTTCCGGCCTAGTGCCTCCTGCAGGCTGGTCTTCTCCTCCTTGAATCCCTCGATGATGCCTGGGGAGACAGGAGAGACATGGCTGCTGAGGCCCTCCTGGAGGAGCGAATGGAGCAGCCAGACAGACAAGGGCTGACCAGGCATCAGCATAAGCTAAGTGGTTACACCTGTATTCAGGTCTTAACTGGCACAGTGTTGTCCCCCACTCCCAGACAGGTATGGGAGCTGCCTGACAAGGCAACACACCTATGAACACCCACCTACACACACCTCCTGGTGCCAAGTACCCAGCACACAAGCCACTGTGCATGCCAGACACCAGGGTCTTGGGGGTCAGAAGCAGTCACAGGGTGATTTCTGGAGGCACTCACTGCCCAACGCCTGTGATGGGAAGACAAATGTTCCCATCTCACCATGCCACTAAACACTCTGAGGTCATCACCCCAAGAGCAGCAGGAGGTTAAGTGCCAGGGGACAGGACAGCCCCATGAGTCTGTTGTAACCCTGACAATCCCCAAAGCTACTGCAGTTCCTCAAAAGCAATTCATTCCACTAAGAAAAGACACTGATGCCTCAAAACTATTTGCTTTATTTACATTTTCTTTAAAAAATTTTGTGCTAGCCCTGGCAGGTTTGGCTCAGCAGTTAGAGTGTCAGCCTGCGAACCAAAAAGTCAAGGGTTCAATTCTTTTTTTTTTATCCTCACCTGAGGACATTTTTCCATTTTTTGTTCAGATAGTGTGAGAGGGAGAGAGAGAGAGAAACATCGACGTGAGAGCGACACATCGAGTGGTTGCCACCCACACGACCCGACCAGGGCTGGGGACAAACTGCAACCAAGGTACGTGCCCTTAGCGGGAACCGAACCCGGGTCTCTCCGGACCGCAGGCCGATGCTCTAACCGCTGAGCCAAACCGGCCAGGGCTCAAGGGTTCAATTCTGATCAAGGGCACAAACCTCGGTTGCGGTTCTGTCCCCTGTCCTGGTTGGGGTTGTGCGTGAGGCAACCAATCGATGAGTCTAATATCGATGTTTCTCTCTCTCTCCCTCTCTCCCTCCCTCCCTCCCACTCTATCTGAAGATAAATGGAAAAATATCCTTGGGTGAGGATTAAAAAATAAAAGATAAAAAAGAGATCATTAAACCTATTTAAAAAGTATATATATTTATGTGTGTGTGTGTGTGTGTGTGTGTGTGTATAAATTCCATGCTAATATTAGCAAGGTGGTGCCTGTGTTCCAGCCCCTCCCCGCCAGCCATCAGCTGCTCACCTTCTGCCTTGTGCAGCTCCAGCGTCAGCCGAGCCTTGGCTGAGTTCTCCTCCTCCAGGCGTTCCAGTAACTCCTGGTGTTTTCTAACAACCTGGGCTGTCTCCTCATTCTTACAGCTAAATTCTTTTTCAAAACGAGCATGAATGTGACGTGCTTCCTCCAGCTGAAAATTTGAAAAATTGGAACTGTATATCAAAAACAATCAAAGCTTACTTACATTAATCCCAATAGAATTCTACTTGCTTAGAATTCTGATGAAATCATCAGTATTCCATAAGAAATAAATAGTTTTCCAAGCTTGCTGTTATGTCAATTACTAAGGTTGCTCATTAAACAAATTTTCAACAACAAACAATTGTGCACACACAGCACCACACAGACTCATGGACTTATGAACTATGGATATGCATGTCTCTGCATAGAAACATTGTTAAGGACACATGACAGGAAGCCGACCACAAAGAGCCTGGCACCTGGGCAAGGTGAAGGAGATGGGAAAGGCCAAAGGGGTGAGGAAAAGAAACTCCTGAGATCAGTCACCACACTGGGAAGAAAACCTGATGGTCTCCACCTCCCTGACTAGTCACAACCAGGTCCCTCCCTGGCTTCCTTGAGTGCCCTCACTTCCTGGCTCAGCCCTGGGCCCTGATCTTCCCTTCCTCTCCTGCTCTCCTGGTGGCATATGTCCATTCTGAGGCTCCCTGGCCATCTACAGGCTGAGGGGCCCTGATTAACCTCTGAATTCAAGACAAGTACTCCCAGCTGTCCTGACAGACAACTCAGCACCTAGCCTGGGTGGGCCTCCCCATGTACTTGATGCAATTCAGCTGATAAGAAAATCTGTTGGTTTTACCTTGAAAATAACCCCCGAGGATGCCTCTTTTCATGCCCTGCCATGGGCCACCTCCCACAGCTTCTGTCCTCTCCAGATACTTGCCCAGGCTAATCAGCCCTCAGGCAGCCCCACCACTGACCCCAGCCTGAATCGGGGCCCTTCACTCCTCTCCTGCCACTGCTCTGCCCATCTCACACAGGGCTCTGTTCCACTCACCCCACTTCCCCAAAACCTGCTCTGCTTTCCTTCTCACATGCCCCACTTTCTCCCTGTAGTGGGGATGGGTGACTTTCCTGTGGAACACACTCTGTAGGGTGTGCAGGACACAGGAAAAGCAAGCGTGGGCCCACAACAGACAAGGGCAACTAGTCAGACACCAGGCTGGGGCCATGACCGAGTGACACCCGCAGGTGCCAGATGCTCACAGGAGGGCGTCTATTTCTGTGTAATAGCACTGGGGGGTGGGACACACAATTTAAAGCACCTGATGACTTATTTGTTGCTGCCCAAACCTGCCCAGGTTTTGAGAGAAGGTGGGAGGTGAAAGGAAGAAGGCAGCTGGAAGGGATGAGAAAGAAACACTTCAGGTATGGACATTGTTGCTCCGCCCACCTGCCCTGAGGAGGGAAAATTACTCAAGTGTTTCTGAGATGTGAACAGCTAAGCTTCACATAAGAGCATTTATTTATGTGTTTTTAGAGAAAGGGAAGAGAGAGGAAGAAACATTGATGTGAGAGCACAACATCGATTGGCTGCCTCCTACATAGCCCCTACCCAGAGACTGAGCCCAAATCCCCAGCACATGTCCTGACCGGAAATCGACCTGGCAACCTTTCCATGCACAGGACAATGCTCAATTAACTGAGCCACACTGGCCAGGGCTAGAGTGCTTATCTTTTAACTGGGAAAACTTTTTTTTTTTTTTTAAAAAGAGTGGGGAGCTGGGGAGAGACACATCGACTGGTTGCCTCCTGCATGACCCTCACCAAGGCCAGGGATGAACCGCAACCAAGGTACCTGTACTTGACTGGAATCGAACCCACAACTCATTGGTCTGCAGGCCAACGCCCTAACCACTGAGTCAAACTGGCCAGGGCTAACTGGGAAAACTTTAGACAAAAAAGATTTTCTTTACTGCTTTCAATTATTCCTATTTAATGTCTTCCCTAATTGTCTAAAATATTCTAAAAGGGTTAACAAAAACAATTCCCTTTTTCAGTGATAATCTTTGGATATAAATATACTGAATGTGGACTTAAAACAGTACATAAAGAAGAGTAGAAGTGGTCTAAATTACACATCATCCAAGTTAAGGATGCTGAGATTTATTTTTCATTCACAGCAGGACATTCCCTCAAGAATTTTGGTTCAGAAAAGATTCCTCCTCATCCAGCCAGTGTGGCTCAGTGAACTGAGTGTCATCCCATGGACTGAGAGATTCCAGTTCGATTCCCAGTAGGGGGCATGCAGGAGAGGCAGCCGATCAATGTTTCTCACATTAATGTTTCCTCTCTCCATTCCTCTCTCTCTAAAAAAAAAAAAATCAATAAAAACATATTTAAAAAACAAAAAAGAGTCCTCCTCAAGGGGTCCCTCAAAGGAAGATACTGCTGGTAGTGACTTGGGGGAAAAAAAGGGGTGTGAGCACCAGAATCAACAGTTTCTGTCCCCAAACATCAGGTGCAGGAGGGAAGAGAGAGAGGCCGGGTCCACCTGGAGAATCAAAGCGTCCATCCCCACCCTGCAGGGCTGGTGGAAATCAGAAATGCCCAATGAAAAAGGTCCATCAATCGATCCAACCTACTTACTCAGTCACCCACTGCCCTTTTCTGAGGCAGAGCATCAGTACAAGGGCCAGAATGGGGCCACAAAGCAAAGAATGGGTAGCAAGGTTGATGCCAACTGGGCCATGGCTCACCTGCCTGGAGGAGTCCAGAACCATCTCCAGGAGGCCATCCACCGCCAGGCCAAGGCTCCGGTAGATGTTCCTGACAGGCTCCTCATACTCCAGTGTACTTTCCGGACTCATGAAAAAGCTTTCACAGATGTGGCTGCTGATCTCAGCCAAGGAAGACATCTCAGTGCAGTCAGGCAAAGTTCTATCCAGCTCCGGCAGGGCCACTTCAGGCCCAGACCACGTCTCATCCAATGCTGGTGCTACAAAATGAGCAAACACAGAAGCCTGCACCACAGACACACACACACACACTGACACCAACCTAAGCATCAGGGACAAGCACACCCATGTCGCTAGGGACAGCACTCCATCTCAACAAAGAGTGGGTTCACCAGCACTAACAAGAGGAGGGAGGCAGCCTAGGGGGTACTTGGAGGCCGGAGACTGCACATGGCCCATCCAGTGCTCACCTACAGACAGATCCTGGCCCCCTGGCCTCACGTTGGGTGGGTTCTCATCCTCCAAGCATAGTCCTACGCGCTCACTGATCCGGCTCTTCAGAGAGATGGCATCCTTCAGCGTCTCTCCAAATAGGCCCAGCAACCTCCGCAGGGAGTCCTGGAGAGCTATCCTGGAAAGGAAAGCACAGAAGGTGGCAGAATTCAGCCTAGACTCCAGCTGGATGGCTCTGCGATGGAGCAGACCTTGTTGCTGCTGCTCTTCATTTTTAAAAGATCCTGTTATTGTTTATTCAAGCATGTTTCTCCAGAGTCAGGCTCCAGCCAACCAGCACAGGGCAAGGGCTTCACATAGAACCATCCCCACAGCGGCTCTCCCCTCAGATAGGAATGCACAACCCGCACCCATCCCCATGGCAAAACCTCCTTGATCCTCAGGGCCCTGCCCTTCATGAGACATCTATTGATACCTGACCCATTACCCAAGTGCATGGAGGTTCTCCCATGCTTCTCCCAGGGGCTGCACACACAGACTACAGAGGTTGGTGAGGTTTGTTCTTCACAGGACCAGGACTCAGCCTACACTCTTTTGTCTCCAAGCTGTACCCTTCCAAACCAGCCCTTCACCTCAGGCTCCTCTGTCTATCACAGTAATCCTGACTAGGATATAGCTATGGGCAAACTGATACAGCTTGTGTGCAAGCCAGAGAGGACACATGGGACCAGACATGAGCTCGCCCTCCCCAACCTGTTCACACACGCACTCCCTATCAAGGGCCCCACACAGGCACTGTTCCCAGCACAGGGAGAGATACCACTGAGCAAAACAGACAAACAGCTACACTTTACAGAGCTGACACTCCCAGTGAGGGACACAAGCAGGAAGTGCGAGAAGAGACCAGTAGGCAGACTGCGTGAAGCACAAAAACCTTGTGGTGGCAGGTGGCCTGACAGCTCCCTGACCACTGCCCAGGCCCCTGCAGGTAGCTACTGAGGACAGGGGAAGGGTGGGGACAGTATGTGCAAGGGTCCTGGGGTTAGCATGAGGGAGAAGGAAAAGAATGAGCACAGAGATGATGGGTCAGGGAGGGCAGATGTCAGCTCTGCTCTGAGACAAAATACCAAAAGGCTCCCTCAGTGCCACCACCCCCACCCCCACCACCTCTGCCTCTTTTTCCTCCTCCTCCTCCTCCTCTTCCTCTTCCTCCTTGTACCCTCCCTATCCAGCCCATGCTGACCCCTGGTCCCTATGGTAATCCCCAAAAATGACAAATCCCTGTGGGTGTCTGGGCATCTGCAGCTGCTGCTCACTTGGCTGGACATACCTCCAAACATCTGGGGGTCATCTGCTCACTGCTGTGTCCCGCCCACATGCAGAGCTGGTGACCACGAAGCCTGTCACACTCCACACTCTGCAATTACCTTAGTGGCTCAGAGCAACTGAGGAGTCCACATCAAACCATAAGACAGCTACAAACAAGTGCTAGAAAAGCATGCACATCTTCACAGAGAATTACAAAGCTTTCAAAAGAACAAAAGGAGACCTGGTGGGGACCCCATACAGCAAGAAAGTCATGGACCCTGCACATCAAGCTCAGGAATAAGCCAGACCTGCCCATTCCACCTGGACCCTCTTGACCGTCGAGGTCCTTACAGGACAACCAGACAAAACCCTGGGTAGAAACAAGTTGGTGGACACAGCACAGATGGAAGGGCCCTGAGAAAGGCCAACCCACAAGTAGGATGCTGAGCAACTGATCAGACCAATAAAAAAAAATTTTGTGACATCAAATACAAATAACTAAGTAAATGAACAGTTACAGACATGCTCCAAACTTATATATAGGAAAAGCAAAACAAAATTGAGACAAAATACGGGGGAAAAAATCTATGTGGCATCAGAGTAAAAAAAAAACTATTTCTAAAATGAGACCCGCCCCCCCCTCCCTGCCAGCCACTTTGGCTCAGTGATTAGAACGTTGACCTGTGGACCAAAAAGTCAAGGGTTTGATTGTACATACCTCAGTACTAGTCCCAGTCAGGGTTGTGAAGGAAGCAACCAAACAATGTGTCTCTCACATCAATGTTTCTCTTTCTCTCTCTCTCTCTCTCTCTCATTCTTCCTCCCTCCCTCCCACTCTATCTTAAAAAAAAAAAAAAAATCAATGGAAAAATAGCCTCAGGTGAGAATTAAAAAAAATAACGTAACTTAGTCCAGCCAGTGCGGCTCAGTGGTTGAGCATCAACCCATGCACCAAGAGGTCACCGGTTCGATTCCTGGTCAGGACACATGCCCAGGTTGTGGGCCCAATGCCCAGTGAGGGGCACGCAGGAGGTGGCAATTCGATGTTCTCTTTCATCGATGTTTCTCTCTCTCTCTTACTCTCACTTCCTCTCTCTCTAAAATCAATAAAGGGAAAAATATTTTAAAAAATAATAATAAAGTAACTTAAAAAATAAAATAAAATAGCCCTGGCCAGTTTGGCTACTCTAGCAGTTACAGCGTTGGCCTGTGGTCTGGAGACACCCAGGCTCCGTTCCCGCTAAGGGCATGCATGTACCTCGGTTGCAGTTTGTCCCCGGCCCTGGTTGGGTTGTGTGGGTGGCAGCCACTAGATATGTCCCTTTCACGTCAATGTTTCTCTCTCTCTCTCCCTCTCTCTCCCTCCCGCTCTATCTGAACAAAAAAATGGGAAAATGTCCTTGGGTGAAAATTAAATAAATAAATAGAATAAAAATTAAATAAAATAATGAGACCCCACCCCCCAAACAGGACAAACAGGCAGATTGCTAAACTGCACCTGCAGTTTTTGTAATCAATTGTAATCAAATTTTGTAATCAATTGTGAGGCTTTGGCAAAGCAAGACAATGGGTATGCAGATGTCTGGATATTATTCAGTAGTTTTCTCAACATTTAAAATTTTTAAATGATGAGAATCATGTAGCACGAGGGTCTCCTTCCCCCAGACATCATCGTGTACCTGGGCAGCAGTGACAGAGGAGGGCCTGACCTTTCGCTGTGAGACAGGTCCACGTCAGACTTGAGCATCCAGATGAGGTTCGTGCCTTCCTGGTTCTCCCTGTCCCGCCTTTGCTGTAGTGTCTCTAGTTCTAAACGCCGCTCTTCTATCTCACGACTTAAGGATAAAATTTGGTCTTTTAGCTGTTGAGGAAAAAATGTTCAAGCTTTAGTTAAAACAATTTAGTTAAAAATAAACTTCTGGCCCTGGCCGGTTTGGCTCAGCGGTTAGAGCGTCGGCCTGCGGTCCGAAGAGACCCGGGTTCGGTTCCCGCTAAGGGCATGTACCTCGGTTGCAGTTTGTCCCCGGCCCTGGTTGGTCGTGCGGGTGGCAGCCACTCGATGTGTCCCTTTCACGTCGATGTTTCTCTCTCTCTCTCCCTTTCTCTCTCTCCCTCCCACTCTATCTGTACAAAGAATGGAAAAATATCCTCAGGTGAGGATAAAAAAATAAAAAAATAAAAAAAAATAAACTTTTGCATGAAACTTTCACCATCCCACTTAATAAAAGTAAGGCAAAAGACAAACAAGGTAGTGCTTAAAGGTAAAAACTATGAATACGATCATGGCTCCATTATTCTCTACTTACATAAAAGGAACACATAACCCTCCCAGCCTGCCAGCTCTGAAGGGGAGGGAGGAGCCAATTCACTAGAGGTTATTCTCACAGATAATAACTTGAAACAAAACCCTTTTTCTGGTCATTCAGAATAAAAATCAGTTGCCAAGCCCTGGCAGGTTTGGCTCAACAACTAGAGCATCAGCCCACAGACCAAGGAGTCTCGGGTTCAATTCCGGTCAAGGGGACGTACCTCGGCTGTGGTTAGATCCCCAGCCCTAGTTGGGGTTGTACAGGAGGCAACCAATTGATGTGTCTCTCTCATGTCAGTATCCCTCTCTCTCTCTCTTTCTCTCTCTCTCTGTCTCTCTCTCCCTCCCTCTCTTCCTCCCTCCCTCCTATCTATAAAAATCAATGGAAAAGTATCCTCAGGTGAGGATTAAAAAAAAATTAGTTGCCAGGCAAGTGAGCATCCCTCTTACAAATTTCTCTCTAAAAACAAAAGGCCAATGATCGCAATCTCAGTGGAGTGGGTTGGTGGGTGGCTGACACCATCTACCATGGGCTCCTAGGCCACCCAAGCAGCTTAGAGAAGTGTTACCAGTGTCTTCCAACAACAGAGCAACCTGAGCCCGAGTCCTCTCCTCTGAGCTCATCGCCAACAGTGGCAACTTCTCAGTTTCGGTCCAGTTTACCAATGAGAACATAAGTGTCCTCCCCATGGAGGATGAAAGAACAGAGGACTCAAGAGATCATGCATGAGCCCAGGAGGGTTGCCAACACCCCAGCCCCACCTTTCTGGAGGAAAACGGGACAACCCATTGCTGCAAGGGACCAACAAGCTGACACACCCATGGCCTCGGCCAAGATGGGCCAGAAGGAGCCATAAGCAGGTAGAGAAGCAGTGCAGGAACAGTGCCACACTGCCACGGATGTCTCTTCATCCAAGAGCAGGTTTGTGGAGTGGAAAAAAAGAACAAGAGAACACAAGCACAAAACCCATAAGGTAATGTTAGAAAAGAAAAAAAGAAAACACAAGCCACTGGAAAAAGAGGAGTGCAATTTTGAAACCAATTTACTGCATGGAAGAACAGCAAACAAAACACAGTTTCAATGTTGTGCTTGGAGGGAAATTAGATAAGAACAGGGATTCTATAAACCACTGCTTAAATCAGACTGACACATAACTAGAAAAATTAAAAATGAAACAGAATTGCAAGTTTCAAGATGGCAAAAAATAATCCAAAAGTGAACGAAAGAGATCCAGAAGATGACCTATGTACACAGAACACTGCCAGCATATGGACTTGCATGTCCAGACCACTTAAGGCTGTTCTATGGTCCCAGCTGTTGGGAGTATAGATAATGGATAGCAGTCAATGGATGGCAGACACCTAGGGCCTTGCTGCATTGAGCCCCATAGCCAAGACCTTTGAGTCAGACATGTCTATGACTGGTGGCCAGGGCACACAAACCATCATGATGGCCGGTTGTACTCAGAGAGCCTATGGAACAGCAGACTCTCCTCAGCCTGTCCTGCTCCCTCCCCCTGCCAAAAGTACACAGTAGGTGGGGGGGAAATCCTAACATATGATCAAGAGGAAGGTAGGGGCAAATAAATATCTTTTTTTTTTTTTTTAATCCTCACTCGAGGATATTTTCCCATTTACCTACAGATAGAGTGGGAGGGAAGGAGGGAAAGAGAGAGAAACATCTGTGTGAGAGAGACACATCAACTGGTTGCCTCCCACATGACCTGACCAGGGCTGGGAACTGAACAGCAACCGACCAGAGTTGAACCCACGACACTTTGGTCCATGGGCTGACACTCTAACTGCTGAGCTAAACTGGCCAAGGCACAAATAAACATCTTAACAAAAAACTAGAGAAAACAGAAAAGAGAAATCATTCTATTCAATTTTAAATTGTTACTTGAACATCTTCCCCACCCTCCAGGGAGACATGACCTCGTTAACTGTCCTGTGATCTAATCCCCACTTTATACTCTTCCATCTTCATGTAATCTTCCTCAAATTCCTTCCTTAATTCCAAATGCATAAAAGGAACTACAAACTGCAATTCTCCTGAGCATCTGAGATCTTGCTTCCAGTGGGCGAGTAGTCAGTTTGGCTCAAATAAACTCGCATAAAAATTCTCTACGGTTTGAACAGATCTTACATCAACATGCATACAAAGGAATATTCAGCCATAAAAAGGAAGGACATTCTGACACCTGCTACAATGGAGCCTGAGGACATTATGCTCAGTGAAATGAGCCAGTCACAAAAGGATAAATGCTGTATGATTTCACACAATCAGATTCACAGAAAAAGAAAGTAGATGGTAAGTGCCAAAGGCTGGGGGAGAGGGATGGAAAGTTAGTGTTTAATGGGGACAGACTTTCAGTTTGGGAAAATGGAAAAGTTTGGAAATGGATGGTGGTGATGGCTGCACAACACTGTAAATGTGATTATTGCCCCTGAAATGTATACTTAAAAATGGTTAAAATGGCCCTGGCCGGTTTGGCTCAGCGGTTAGAGCGTCGGCCTGCGGTCCGGAGAGACCTAGGTTTGGTTCCCGCTCAGGGCACGTACCTGGGCTGCAGTTTGTCCCCGGCCCTGGTCGGTCATGCGGGTGGCAGCCACTCGATGTGTTCCTTTCACGTCGATGTTTCTCTCTCTCTCTCTCTGTTCCTCTCTCTCCCTCCCACTCTACCTGAACAAAAAATGGAAAAATGTCCTCGGGTGAGGATAAAAAAAAAAAGGTTAAAATGGAAAATTTCATGTTATGCATATTTTACCACAAACACAAAAAGTAGTAAAAAGCCAAGATACATCCACACACCTGCAGAATTTGGTTGTTCTTCTCCTGAAGCTGCATAGACAAAGACTCCTTTTCTTTTAGGTGAAGAGACTGTGCTTGCTCACACTCCAGTCTGTTTATCTCCTCTTTTTCATGCGAAGCAGCTTTCTTTTCACATTCAAATTCACCCTGTACAAAGATATGATCAAGAACAAAAAATGCCATTAAATTATAAAATTATGCTTGTTCTATTTCTCTGCTGTTCACTAGCACTTAGTTCATTCAACAAATATGTATTGATCTATAATCTGTGCCAAAAAAAGGTGATCAAAAGGGCTGAATACACTACCCATCGCAAATATACATTCAAATGCACTTAGGAGCCTGGCTGGTGTGGCTCAGTGGTTGAGCATCAACCCATGCACCAAGAGGTCACCGGTTCAATTCCCAGTCAGGGCACATGCCCAAGTTGTGGGACCAATCTCCAGTGGGGGGTGTGCGGGAGGCAGCCAGTCAATGTTCTCTCTCATTGATGTTTCTATCTCTCTCTCCCTCTCCCTTCCTCTCTCTCTAAAATCAATAAAGATAAAATATATATATATTTTTTAATCCTCACTCAAGGATATTTTTACATTCATCTTCAGACAGAGTGGGAGAGAGGGAGGGAGAAAGAGAGAGAGAAACATCAATGTGATAGAGACACACCTATTGGTTGTCACCTGCACAACCCCAACTGGGTCTGGGAGCTAACCGCATCATAGGTACGTGCCCTTGGCTGGAATCAAACCCAGGACTCTTTGGTCCACAGGCCAACGCTCTAACTGTTGAGCCAAACAAGCCAGGGCTATAAGAAATGTTTTTAAAAAATAAATAAGCCCTGGCCGGTTTGGCTCAGCGGTTAGAGCGTCGGCCTGCGGTCTGGAGACCAGGGTTCGGTTCCCACTAAGGGCATGTACCTCGGTTGCAGTTTGTCCCCGGCCCTGGTTGGTCGTGCGGGTGGCAGCCACTCGATGTGTCCCTTTCACATCGATGTTTCTCTCTCTCTCTCTCTCTCTCTCTCTCTCTCTCTCTCTCTCCCTCCCACTCTATCTGTACAAAAAATGGAAAAATGTCCTCAGGTGAGGATGAAAAACAAAACAATTAAAAATAAATAAATAAATAAATAAGCCCTGGCCAGTTTGGTTCAGCAGTTATAGCGTCAGCCTGTGGTCCAGAGAGACCTGGGATCAGTTCCCGCTAAGGGCACGAACCTCGGTTGCAATTTGTCCCCTGCCCTGGTTGGGTCGTGCAGGTGGCAGCCACTCAATGTGTACCTTTCACATCAATGGTTCTCTCTCTCTCTCCCCCACCCCACTCTCTCTGAACAAAAAATGGGAAAATGTCCTCGGGTGAGGATATAAATAAACAAACAAACAAACAAACGCACTTATGATACAGAATATCAGAGAAATAGTTCACTACCTCTCCCAAAAGTTCACATTAAGAAATTCTCCATCAAGGAAGAAGAACGGTCATTGGGGAAAAAAGGGAGACATCTGTAATACTTTCAACAATTAAAAAAAAGGAGCCTGCCCAGTGTGGCTCATTGGTTAAGCGTCGACCCATGCACCAAGAAGTTGCCAGTTCAATTCCCCGTCAGGGCACATGCCCAGGATGTGGGCCCAATCTCCAGTGGGGGGCATGCAGGAGGTGGCCAATTGATGTTCTCTCTCATAGGTGTTTCTATGTCTCTCTTCCTCTCCCTTCCACTCTCCCTAAAATCAATAAAAAAAAAAAAGGGGGGGGGTATCATGATCACCTTGGTCGTTGTATCTCAGTGGTTAGAGTGTCAGCCCATGCACCAAAGTGTCACGGGTTTGATTTCTGGTCAAGAGCACATACCTGGGTTGCAGGTCTGATCCCCAGCCCTACCTGGGGAGTGTGCAGGAGGCAACCAATCTATGTATCTCTCTCACATCGACGTTTCCCTCTCTCTCTCTCCTCGCCTCCCTCCCCATTCTCTCTAAAAATCAGTGGAAAAAATATCCTGAGGTGAGGATTAACAACAAAATAAGAGGCTATCATGATCATCAAAACCCAAAATATTTAGAAATCTAAGTTCTTTTGGTTTTAAAAAAAATAAATCCTGTTTCTTTTTTTAAAAAAATTTTTAAATAAGGTTCACCTAACAAATTAAACTATATATTGAAGTAAGTTATTTCTTGCCCTGGCCAGTATGGCTCAGTTGGTTGAGCGCCATCCCATGCACCAAGGGGTTGCTAGTCTGATTTCCAGTCAGGGCACATGCCCAGGTTGCAGCTTGATGCCAAGTAGGGGGTGTAGAGGAGGCAGATGATCAATGTTTCTCTCTCACATAGATGTTTTTCTCTCTCTCTCTCCTTCCCTCCCTCTCCATTCCTCTCTCTCTAAAATCAATAAAGAAAAGAATGAGAGAAAGTTTTTATTTTTTTAAAAAAACTATAGAGGTTGTACTTTCAGAAATGACAGAATAAAGACCTCCAAAAGTCTACTCCTCTATAAAAGCACTCTTGGGAACACTGGCAAAAACTGCCAAAATGAGCTTTTTCAGGGCTCTGGAAATTCTTATAAGAAAGGCTTGCAACAACCCAGCGTGCTTATTGAAAAAAAAGGCTAACTCTCCATCAGAGCAGCAAGCTTTGGGGTATTCGAACCTGCCCTAATCCCATCAATCCAATCTCGGGGACAGTCTTGAAAACAGCAACCCAGCAATCTTGGTGGGGGCAGGGTACAGTTGGAGTGCCCCCAAAGTGTCACCAAAGCTACTGTCAGTAACTGACCTGTCCAACAGCTCACTGAATAGCTCCATTTTCAGAGTTGGTCTTTATTTGATCTGAGGCAGAGCACACAATCCATTAGTCACAATCAGAAGCAACAGCTTAACATCAGATGGCCTGAGGCTGTGATAACAGTTGGTGCTAAAAGAGGCTGACCTTCCCTGGCCAGTTTGGCTCAGCGGTTAGAGCACTGGCCCAAAGACCCAAAAGTCGCAAGTTCGATTCCTGGTCAGGGGCACATCCCTGGATAGCAGGTTACATCCCTGGCCCTGGTCTGGATGTCTCTCTCTCCCCCACCTCCCAACTCTTATCTAAAAATCAACAGAAAAATATCCTTGGGTGAGAATTTAAAAAAAAAAAAAAAAAGAGGCTTACCAAAAAACTTAAAAGGAAACACTAGAAAATGGATGTCAACCGGGGGCTTTTATTATTATTTTTTAATCCTCACCCAAGCATACTTTTCTATTTATCTTCAGACAGAGGAAGGGAGGGAGAGAGAGAAGCAATTATGTGAGAGACACACACCAACTGGTTGCCTCCCTCATGACCCTGAGCAGGGTCGGGGACGAACCACAACTGAAGTATGTGCCCTTGACCAGAATCAAACCCATGATTCAATGGTCCTCGGGCGGATGCTCTAACCACTGAGCACAACCGTCCATGGCAACAGGGGGCTTTTAAAAGCCCCAACATGCTCCTGAGAATTTAGAAAGCATGTGCATGTGCAGTGCTGTGCACACACCCAGAGAGACCTAAGACCCTGAGCCCTCACCTTCCAGCTCCACAAACACAGAGGTGAAAGCTGAAACAGAGTTGTTAACTACCTGCCAGAGCTCAGATAGCATGATCTAACCAGAGCCCCTCACAACAAAGAGAATTATAAAAGGAACCAAATAGATATTCTGGAGCTCAAAATACAATTACTAAAATGAAAACTTCACTAGAGGAGCTGAGTGGGCAGAAGAATCAGCAAACATGACGACAGGTCAAATGAAATTATTCAGTCTAGGGAAGAGAAAGAAAAAAGAATGACAAAAAGTAAGTAGAGCCTCAAAGGCCTGTGAGACACCATCACAGACCAATATACACACAATGGAAATCCCAAAGGAAAAGAAAGCCAACAGGGCAGAAAAAATACTTGAAAATAAAAGGGTCAAAATCTTCACAAATTTTATGAAAAAATATGAATCTACATATACAAGAAGCTCAATGAATTCCAAGTAGAATAAACTCAAAGATATCCACACCTCAACACATCATAAGCAAATCTTTGTAAAACAAACATACAAGAAACCTTGAAGCAGCAAGAGGGAAGCAACTCAACACAAGGAACCCTCAGTAGATTAACAGCCAGCCATGGCAACGGGGGGCTTTTAAAAGCCCCAATAGCCAGCTGACTTCTTGTTATAATCCAGAGGTCAAGAGGCAGTGAGATTACATATTCAAAGTGTTGAAAGAATAAGACTGTCAACCAAGAATTCTATATGCAGAAAAACATCTTTCTAAAATGAATGAGGAATTAAGCTATTCCAAAATAAATAAGAACTAAGAAAATTCATCACTAATGAATCTGCTCTGAAGAAATACTAAAGGGTCCTGGTCAGTGTGGCTCAGTTGGTTGAGCGGCGTCCCATGAACCAAAAAGTCTCCAGGTCAATTCCCAGTCAGGGTACATACCAGAGTTGTGGGCTCGATCCCCAGTAGGGGACGTGCAGGAGTCGGTTGATGAATTTCTCTCTCACGTCGATGTTTCTCTCTCTCTCTCCATTCCTCTCTTTCTAAAACTAATAAAAACCTATTTTAAAACAAGAAAGAAAGACTAAAGGGTAAAATGAAAGGACAGTAGGCAGCAACTTGAATCCACGTGAAGAAATAAAGGACACTGGTATAAGTACCTATATAGATAAACATTAAAGACAAGATAAATATAGATTTTGTTGATAATTCTTTTTTACTCCTATCTGATTTAAAAGGCAACTGGGTAAAACAATGAGCATAAAATGTATACATATGTACTTTGCACAACAACACTGGCACTAAAGAGGAAGAAATGAAACTATATTTATAGAATAATCTTTTAAACTAGTAATATTAAGTTGGCAAATAAATAACAAACCAGCCGCCAATGAGGCCAAGTCCCTTCCTCGTCTCACCCCGTCAAAGAACTGCAATTCCTAAAGGCAATTGGAAGCTAAGCTAATCACTTATTTTTGAACCTACACTTTGTTTCAGGAAGGGTTTCAAGGAAGTTGACAGATATACAAAGTCTAACTAGACACACAAACTAGGCTGAAGAGCAGCAAACTCAAAGCACCCATCCCAATTATCTACCTGCAAGGAGCACTGAGGACACTGTGTGCCTGTCCTGACCAGTGTGCCCCCAGGCCTGGTGCC